AAATCGGCTGGCTGCCAGTGCACCGACCAGGGCCGTACCCAGAAAAAAATTTCGGGGGGGTCAGAACCCCCTAACCCCCCCCTGGTTACGGCCCTGACGTGGACTGTCCATGTTTGGTGCCGTTTTCGATGCACCGATTCGTACCAAATAACCCAGGCAGAGCGTCTTAAAGACTGAATCGGCAGCACTTTTTCTCGGGCCACGCTCGCAAATTAGTGACCACTCGTTTGCGCGAGACTTTCTACCCAACGCTTGGTTACAGGTTGTCTGCTGTAACTTATTCTGAGGCACCCAACATCGAACACAGTATACTTTTCTGCTGAGCGGCGTGGCACAGTGCCAAAGATTGCGTGCGAGCAACACCCAGGCGACGAGCAAAATTTACTAGGAGTCTACCGCAATCCAGCAGTGCAACGCGCAACAGCGAGCAATACGCCCCAGCGACGGCCTAGCCTGTCGCTGATCGCCAAGTTTTTCGCTTGCCAAATCGCCTACGTGATTATAGTGTCCAGATGCAACGAGAAACAAAACCATGGCAAGTAAAGTATGCACTTGCAGAAATGGATAAGTCTACAATAGCCTTGCTGTGTCAATGCAATGTTTGCAGAAGTCGCACTCAGTTTCAACTACCTTTATTTCCGGCAGAAACGTAACAAATCTGAGGAACTTACATGGCCTCTGAAGTCTAGGCCATAACCTTGCGACGTCGACCCATTCACCGTTCGATTTCATGGTATATAACAGCCCAGTGGTAGCTGGTAAAGCTCAGTCGCAGCGCTGTACGTAGCACTATGCGAGTGCATCTTCGTGTGGTTGCAGAGCCTCGCTTTGCATCTGGCTCCCACCCTGCTTTTAACTGGGGTTTGTGAGTGGATTAGCTACAAAACAATCCGGGTGTTAAATAAAATGTTACAAATGCAATTGTTACATCTTGATGTTTCTTGACCGGTGCAAACAAACAATAAAGGTCCTGATTTACCGAGAAAAATATTCTCATATTGCAATCTGCGCCACGGTTGTACGAGAAACACACAATTTTTTATAGCAAATGATGAGCAATAAACTGCAAATTTTCACACGAGATTTAGCTCCTTCGTGTATATGAAACGCACGGAATGAATTGTAAATAGCTACAGTGCTGCATTCTGGGATGTTTGGCACGACCGAGCAAACGGTACATGCAGCCTGATAGCTGATGTATACATTAAAAGTTTTTTTTTTCATTCCCCTTAGCTTAAGAAGTCATAAAAACTGCAGTCGATTGCGTGACATTTGTTTTCAGAAAATGCGCGCTGACCCGCGATGCCACCTGCGATCAAGATCATATTTTTTTACCGCCACTTTCAATCACTTTCCAGTCCAGATTCCCAAGTTCCAAAGTTACGTAAAGATTGAAGTTTGAAGTGTCGCGATAAAAACAACTATATTTTGACGGGGGACATCAAAATAATCTTGCAAATATTTTCACGTCTTTAAAAAGTGGCGTCGCGGACAACAAGATAATACTTAAAATGAATTTTAACGTGGACGCCAAAACAGTTACTGCCAAACTTATATACACATTTGCGAGAGAGGCTCCCGCGCACCGCCATTCTTGGCAATACTGGCGCCGAGTAACGTTTCTGCCATGTCGGGGGCACTTGGGGCACGTCATTGGGGTGCACGAATGTGGACCATCCAGCAAATGCAGTAGCCACGACGAGTTCTGGGACATGTGGGCACGTGAATGAGAAAGACATTGCCGCGATCATGGGCCCAGGAATGGACAGCACCCGTTTGTTTTATTAATAGCCTTGTAAGAGTGGGACGCTCAGTGGTGTCTAGTTCAGCGAGAGGCGCAACATTCTAGGACTGGCAGCAAACGTCCTGGTTGAAGAGAAGGTTCCTCTCAGCTTGGCGTGCGGTTCCAGGTTAAACCTGGAGCCCACTTGCAAAAGTGTGTGGGAGGCTCCGGTTTGGGTGATACTTGAAAACGAGCATGTTGTTGAATTAATATGAATACTTCGAAGAATAAAACATCGAGGATGAGGACGGAAGCAGGACTTCCTTCAGAAAAGTCCTGTTTTCTTTCTTGTCCTCGATGTTTTATTCTTTCAAGCATTTATAGTTTTGAGTGGTCGAGGCTTTCTCGGTGCGGCACGAGTGCCTTCTGTAACGGTGCGTGCCATTCCAATGGAAATTGACAAAGAAGACTGTCGTGAAAGTAAATGACAGCTGTATGCCGTGCCGGCTATGAGACGGGTGGGTATGTCCTCTTTGTTTCTTTTGTCTCAAAGCTTTTAATTATGAGCGATAGGCCGTCCATTGGGACACATGAACTCTCAATGAAAGATATCGAGGAGAGAAGAATAAATTACCTCGCACTTTCTAATAATACGATAAATTTAGCCTTCCGGCTCTTAAGAGACACATCAGAATTTTGGTTGCAATTTTTTCCTCCAAATAAGGCTCGTTAATTGCACGACAAAACAAAGAACTGGCAATTTGCCGCGACTAATTTATTACCGTACGCATTTTACTTCGTGGTTTTGGTTTTGACCACCGGGCGGCAGGACGTCTCAACTACGTCGCGTGCTAGAGCGGGAAATCGTGATCCGTAGCACATTGGAGGTTCCGTCGTCCACCGTCACTTTAGAGATGCACGGAATCGTGGTTGTACTTGCCGGTCCGTGAAAACATTTGGAATCTCAGCTCCCAGCAATTGAAAGTGAAGCCAATAACGTGCCATCATCTTAAGTCCATGCCATGTTTCGGAATTAGTGACACCATGGGCATTGTTTAAAGCGTGGGTTCCTGGGAATCTCCCCAAAGTACCCTTCCCAGCTCCCCAATTTGCTCGGCCGTCGCGCGAGATTTCGGTCTCCGTCGGAGCAGATCAGAGTCGCCCGTCGACGCGTAACTCGCGAGCCAGACACGTCCTGGTTTGCGCATCCTTATTTACAAGGTGAGCACGTTTCTGCGCTGCTTCGTTTCCTTGACGCCGAGACCAAAAGGGGCTCTTCAGCCACACGTCGAGGCGTTCCTCGAGTCCGAGAAGCCCAACCTTGGGCGAATCAAAAGGCTGGCCAAACTTTCATCTCTCTATTCTTTTAAGTGAGGTGCAGTTTATTGGAAGCATGCGACAAGAGGGGAGAGCCACGGTGCAACTCCTAGAAGATGCATTTTGCATAGCTCTTGGTCGGATGGGCGTAGGTATCTAGTGTAGCAGCCGAGCTAAGTTTATAATTAATGTCGGCTTGCCCGAGCGCGGTGCCATACAGAACGTTCGGAGGCACAGTTGGCGTTAATTGTTTTTACGCGAGACCCGGAAATTGAGAACACAGGTCCCTTCCATGCACCGGTGAAGAGCGTTGCAGTCTTCTCCACCCCAGTATGTCTGCTTGATTCTTCAGCGAGCAAAGAGCGATCTAATAATATTAATCTCATGGGTTTTATCAATTACTGGTACCGGTGAATGTCGTCCCATAGTGATTTTTGAACCGTTTAAAACGCAAACGCAGAGGCATCGTTCACCACAGATAAACGTGGCGTTACGTTTGCCACCATTGCCACTCACAACTGTGGGACACACAATTGAATCCGAGCTCCCGGCAACTTCTGCGGGTTGGACAGGCCACTTTCAAAAATCCCTCCATGCAACACTGCGCGTGCTGCACGCTGGGAACCAGTTGGCCACGGTGCAGAGTGGCATGGTCTCGGTTTCGATCGGACAGCCGCTGTCTGTACTCCTGCAGCCAAGCACGTGAACTTCAAAGCCTGCATAACTTTTCTTCGCGCATAACTTTTGGGCAAACGTGCTTGCACAACAGCGGCACCAGTAGGGACGTTGCACTCCATCGTTCTACATTTGCCCAAAATCCGGCACGTCGGGAGCCACAAAGCAGTGCCAAGTGTTTTTTTCGATATCTGTCGGCAATGCCTACAGTATTGTACACTCGTAGGAATGTAGAAAGTTACAGCAATGAAAACGCAAGCGACGTGTTTCGTCACGGCACGACGATCATGACAAAATCTGAAACTGAAACCAAAACTCAGTGGCCAACTGTTACCCAGAACTCGTTTCGTGCCACCATGCCAACAGGAGTGCTTTGATTCGGGAAAAGGCTTATTATGGAAAACACATAAGGAGCAACGCTGGACATGTGGATGTTTAAGATGTCAGGGTCCCTTACTTTAAAACAAAGTAAAAAAAAAAAAAAGATTAGAAAATTAAATCAGACGTATATTTTTAAGTCAAATTTATTTGATTTAAGTCAAACTTGCACGATTTAAATTGCTTCTGCTGTGAAAGCGTGACTTTTTATCGCTAGATGCGTTTTTTATAATGGCTGCCGGATATAAACCTGCTTGATCATTATTTGCCTTAAATATAAAATAAATGCCCGTGGGAAGCAAACGCTGATTGACAAAGGGTAAATAGCAAATATTTTCAGTATTGTTTTTGGGGAAAGGTGTTTGATTTGGTTACAGCGATTTAGTTATCGTAGCCAGATTGTTGCGATTTAAATAACCTCGATTTTTACTCTCCATTCTGGTCCGGAACAAAATCTTGGAACACGGCTGCGGGAAGACGCAGACGTGGTGAAGACTTTGAGCGGGCGGCGCTTCACTGTGCTGCGTAAGGCGGATGCTGTCACTGGTGGCGCGGCCAACCAGCTTTCAAGGCGGTGTGGCAGCCCCCTGTAGACGTCGCATGGCCCCGATAGAACACCATAAGAAACCCTCTCACACCCGCTCAAATGTTTTGGAAGACGTTTAGTACAGGAAAACGAAGGTCCATACATGCGTATCACCGAGGCGTACTGTCAATCATTTTTAATAATGAAACGGGCCACCTCGCTACAACAGTGCCTCGTGGTGAAAAGGGACTGCAGAAAAGAATCATTTATAGATGCGCAATGTGATACGCAGCTAACCTTTGACATTCGCTAGATCAATTTCTAGAAAAAGATGATACGTGAAAAGCTTGTCAACTTTTTCTTCCTGCCTCTTGTTTCTAGAAATACCCGTGCGAAAAGGCTTACTTCATTGCCAAGGAGTTGCTCATGGCAGAGCGGACGTACAAGAAGGACCTCGAAGTCGTTGTAATGGTGAGTGGCAGTACAAAAACACTCTTTTTTTTGTTTTCGGTAGAAGAAAGAGTTTTTTTGCTTTGAATGTCTCGCCGGTTGTACGAGTCTGGGAAATTCCTGCGCTGTAGGCTGTAGCGGCTGGCGATAATTTTTCAGATGTAGTCAGGCTTAGAGCAGCGGGTCATGCTCCTTGCCCCATTTCTGCTTGAGCAGACCAAATGCTGGAGACGAGGAAGCCACCAGCCGTGGCGAGACATAAACCTGGAGCAGACCGTGTTGTGGCCATAAATTTGCTGTATTTCGTATAAACATCAATGAGGACAAAACAATAAAGAAGCATTAAACATGAATCTCGATTAGGTATAATTTGATTCATTGAGGAAGATAGACACAATTGCTTAAGATTATTCTTTTAGGGACACGGTGCATCGGTACTTGTTTTTCTATTTTGCCCGTTTATACTCTATGATTGGCTCTGCCAGACGTGGGTGCTACGTTTTAAAGTGTGTGTTCTTGATTTGAACAATAAATTGAAACCAAATTTAGGTGAAATAAAACTGAGAGTCATTGCATTGGCATCTGTTTCTGAAGGTTTCCCATTGATGATCTGGCTGTCAGGATTGTTTCTCTCAGGTTCTGTATAAAACGCGACTACCAATCAAGCGCTTTATGTACAAGCTTGTGTTTATGTACAAGCTTGTGTTTTGTCGGGCTTTAGTGAATAAAAATTGCCAGTTCTACGCAGCAAGACGTTTTAGTAAACTCGCAGCAGTAAAAATACACGGGACTATTTTTCTCTTGGTGCCCCATCCTCGGGTCCCCCACACCGTCAGAAAATTTCAACAATGAAAATAGTTTATAGCATGAATATTTCAAACATTACTATTATTGCTCTTTTTAGACACGTTGTGCATTGTTTTTTTTGGCAAATCTTTTCAGTGTAAAAAATGTAGTATAAAGCTTTTTGTTTTTTGCTTTTCTTTTGCGCCGTCCCACGGCGTTTTTTGATGTCTGCTCCAAGGCATGGAAAGAGGAGCATGTCACAATCGTTGATTATATTTTTAATCGGAAAATTGGCCACCCAGGAGTGTAATTTAGTTTTTTTTAGGATGCTTGGGGCCCATAGATTGAGTTATCACTTTAAACAGATGATCTCGGAATCCACTTGAGTGCCGCTTTAACGACACCCCCCTTTTTAGATGCATGTCAGAAAAGGGGTGTGTTGCAATGTTTGGTTGCCTTTTTAGTAGAAAAAAGAGGCCGAGCACGAACATAATTTTTTTTTATTTTTGGGGCACATAGATTGACTCGTCGCAATAAAGAAAATTAACTGAAGATCTACTTTCGTACCCTTAAAGTGGTTTTCACACAAGCGAGAAATCCCGGGGACTTTTATCCCGGTGCGCACCTCACGCGATGAAAACGTCAGGCTTTTGCAATGCGGCTAAATTCTTCTGTGGTGGTGTCAAGTGTAGAAACCGCTCAATCAAACTGCAAACGCCGCCATCCTTCAGCCGCGGCACTTCATTGGTGTGAATGACGAAGCCAAGGTAGAAATTGCGCCCGCTGTCGACGTCACGCACATCCCCACGGGGATTGCTCCCTTGCATGAATACCTTTTATCCACGAACCAGGGAAGTGCCACCTACTGGTCTAGTCTTACCGTGGCAGTGGTGTAGCTCGTCAGCTACATTTCTGCCAAAGCCCAATGAAAAGCCGGCGCATTGGATTGCCACTCGACACACTCTCTCGCGCTTGGTGCCCCATCATTGGTCGAAATGTCGTTTTTCAAAAAGGCAGAAATTCGGTTGCCCAAACAGAACCATTCATTTTTTTCCGACTACGGTCGCAACATGTATCTCGGCTCACTCTAAAGAGCGTCCCCACTAACGTGCTCTATCGGTGGTGGATTAATGAGTCGGGGTAGGGGGGTCTGCGAGAGATTTGACGTTGCAGATGTGTATGACGTCATAGGCAGTATGTTACCCAGTTCTAGTTGACTAACACGATTGCCATTTCTCCCTAAACTAAAAATTTTCTTGCTCAAAAGAGGATGGTGTATGTGGTTGTTAACAGAGAATGTTTTATCCGCGGATTTTCACGGAGTTCTGTAATGTCTGGCTGAAACGGCTGGCTGTAGTGGCCGTTTGTAACGAAAAACTAACACCGAAAAGTATTACACCCATAGGAAACCATGTAAAAGGACTTCAGCCCTCCGACATGATTTGAATTAACTCACCTCCTTGAGATTGTGAGTCAAGTGCTTTGTCAACTGAGCTAAAAAGGATAGGTAGTATGAACCATGGAAAAGCAAGCTCATTCGCATGGCGCGTGATCGAGCTCTCGCGCTTCGCTGCCTTTCCTGTTGAGTAGTGCCATCTCTCAGCGTGTATCAAAAATGCAAACAAACTTTCGGTGGGCGGTGCCAATTAGACGCCCTTCTCATCTTCCCTGAAAGGCCTATTGCACATTTTGTGCTTATAAGTCTTTGTGAGCATGATGGAGCTTAAATAATTTTTCTCTGTAAACAAAAGCCCCCTTCCCCCTGAAATGTGCCCCTGGGCTCTATGAGGTGATGTGAAAGGTTGTGAAAAGGAAAGAGCACCCTCGCAGTGGTTCCGGGAGCGGATGGAGAAGGGGCATGTGGAGGGAGCGCCCACGGAAACCCTGTCGCTGCTTTTCTCGCTTCTGGCCCCACTGTACAAGCTGCACTGCTGCCTGCTGCTCGACCTGGAGCAGCGCCTGGCCGCCTGGTGAGTGGCGCCCCAAGCGCACCGGTGGCCGACATGTACGCTATTCCTCGATTATTGTGGTTATATAGTTGCCACGTTCGTGCGTTGCTGCACAAACTTTGTTGCCCCAGTGGTGGGAGGAATGCCGTGACTATGAAAGCGCCGTAGGTTACTCGATCACATAATCACTGTAGGTTACGTTAGCATGTGGTTGCAATAGGTTACGTGATCGTGTAATCGCAATTATAACCGCTTTAGGTCATGTGATTATGCGATTGCCTAAGTCAGGGGTCTCCAAACCCCGGCCTATGGTCCATATCCGAAATTGCCTTCATGAGGGATACGTCCATCTTGCTTCCAAACTTTCGGCTTGTACTTCGGCTTGAAAGAAAGATGTGGACAGACGACCACCCTCTTTCAATAAAGAGGGCGGTCATCCGCCCTTGTCTTTTGCGGTCTTATTCTTTCAAATGGAAGTGATTCATCTGCGCTCTTGTCGATTCAGCTTTCAGCTGTTGGTATGAGCTTCTTGCATCAAAAACCTCCGTTTCTTTTCCAGGGAGGGCAAGCCCATTCCCACAAGCTATTCGAACGTGCAGGGAATTGGTGGGCTGCTTCTGGACTACCTTCACATGGTTGAGGTGAGGTTTGCTAGAAGAAACCTAGTGCCACGCAGTATTGTTTTTGTTGATCTGGCAAGTATGCCCATCTGTTTACCTGCCATAGAGACTCAATATTGGGGTTGCTTAGATTTCTCCATCTCAAGAAATGCTTGGCTACCTCGAGTTAGAGCCAGAGGACCCCTCCCTCGACAGATATGCAATAACGGAGTTTGGATGTGTACAAACTCTTGTGGCAATACTTCATAGAACTCACGGTTATGTCCTTGAAACCAGAGTTGAGACCCCATGCTCTACGTCTGAAGCACCAAGCCAGAGTCCTTCATTGTGCTTCACAAAACTTTTCCCTTACGCTATGGGAAAGCATGGTGCGTGACCACTCTTGGCGCTAGCGTCGAAGGGGGGGCTGAGAGTCACCAATCTAGCCGGCACTGTCTAGAGTCCGGCAACCAGAAAGTGGTATCGAAATTTCAAACCCACTCCGACGAGCCACCATTAGAATGCGGTGTCACGTGTCGTTTCACTGAGAGTGTTTCTTGTTAAAGTAAGCACCTTTAGCTCTTTTACAATCGGTCAACTGATCAAACTTCCTAGCGACCTCCAAAATAATATAATTCTTCATTCCTCTTGTTGCCTCGAAATGAATCCTCGATACTGCTATCGCTATGAGACTTGAGCGCCGTGAGTAGTGCCATCAAGTGGAGGCACTGCGAATTTGTACGCTTAATTGCCTGGCTCTTTCTTGCTCGCGAAAACACCGAAAACAAACGAAAAACGCTTATCCCTAGATTTTTTTATCTAGTATGTAGCTAGGTAAAAAAAAAACACTACAAAATTTAATCTTTCAGTTGGTGGTGAAAAATTCCTATTTTTTTAAAACTTTTCTTAAAAATTGTACCCGACTTTTAAGGCTGGCTGACACACTCACAGCTGCCTACAGTCGGAGAGGCTAAAAACCAATTTGAAGCCTTTCGCGACTGCTTGCAATCATCTGTGCAGCGGTCACAAGTGGTAAAGCCAGTTTTTTAGCCTCTCCGGTCGTAAGCAGCAATGAACCCTCGAATGGTATGAGGTGCGAATCCCGAAGGAGTACCGCGTCACGCCCTCCCCTGGTCCCAGCTGTACGAGCGGTACATGGACAAGCTGCCCCGGGTGCTGGAGCGCCTGTGGAGCAGCTGCTGCCACGGCGGGGCCTTCGAGGACGCCTACCGGGACTTTGAGCTCCAGGGGGAGTGCTACCTGCCCCTGGCCGCCTTCCTGCTGCACCCCGTGCACCGGCCCCTGCAGCTGTGCGGCCTCGTGGAGCGTGAGGCCACCATTGCCCGATACCGAGTTCCCAAATTCTCTCGGCCATCCCCGCCCTTTTAAAGGAGCTGTGCATTGATTCTAACGTTGAAGGAATTTGCATCTTCTACTTTTGACATTGTTTATCTTGTCACAAAGGAGAGAAAAGAAATCTCCTTCCTTTGAAATGTTCCGATTCTGCCACGTAATCGCGAGGCAGGAATTAGAATATTTCCTGACCTGCAGCCGCGAACGGCGGCCATGAGAGCCACGCGGCGTGATGTCATTGGGGGACTCGTAACAAGATAGGAAGTTGTGCAAATAGCTGCTCAATAAAAGGTAATTTTTCTATAATTCTTGTCATTCTAACATAACTATAAATGCGTCAAAAACCTGGTATCATCGACAAAACTTTTATTATACGGAGTTATAGTGGCGCCATCTATCTGAGGTCAACAAAACCGTCTGCTCTATCTGCTATCGCAAACAGCCGCCAGAACCCGGAGGGGGATGGGGGCAAAACTGGACGGGGATGGCCGGACTCGAACGAGACTTTTCTCTTTTCGCCACGTTGATCGCGCTGGCCGCGCAAGTACGTGATCAGGTGGTCGTGAGCGGGTGAGTTCTCGCTGCTCACTGATGGCTTTAGAGAGAGAGCTTCACTGGAACACTACGCATCCCCCATTCACGTCAGCACACGTGACTCGGAAGAAGATGGTGAAGGAGTTAAAAGGTGCCGAAAACCTCAATCTTTTTCAGTTCTTAAAATAAAACTAGGACATGCAGGCAAAAGTGTTTTTTTTTTTTGTTCTTTACTTCAGAAAGGTCGTGACACCAACTCCCAAATTATGGAAGCAAAGCATTGAAATTGTCACACAGCTCCTTTAAATTGCCCAATTTAAACGCTATTCCGGAAGATCTGTGCCATCCATCGATTCGTGACTATGTGGCAGACGTTCCTTAGCATACGCATTTATCCTCGCGAGGTCCGTCGGCGGGGAACTCGCAGGGGCATTCTAGGGAACCCCTGGGGTCCCCTTTCCTTTTCGGACTCATGCAACCGAGACTTCCACTCCTAAAGATCCCCAAGTTGTTGAATTTATTCCCCAGTTCTTCGCTGGATCGTGCCATACGCTCTTTGTTGGTTTGACACGTTTTGGCACCCAAATTAAGCTTTAGCCTCTGTGTACCTAAACGCACATTCTTTTAGTTACCAATGCCAAAACTTAGGGTTAATTTGAATGTTTTATAGGACTTCACGGGAGCTACGAGTCCAATCATTCCGACAAGAACTCCTGCTCGGGTAAGCCTGGAGCGTGCTCATTCTCTGCAAAAGCTTAGTCCTTACGCTCCGTGGTGTGCACTTCACAGACGTACTCCACAAGTTGAAGAGGTTCACCAACTCTCACAAGGAAGCCACTCACAAGTTGGTAGGTGTTCTCTTGTATCGAACACTCATGCATGCACAGGACGCACTAAAACAGCACGCAAGCAGAGGGAAAGAGAACACGCGCTCTGTGTTCTCTTCCTCTTTGCTTGCACACTGTTTTAATATGTTGTCATTATACTAACTGCCTCACCTCGCCACATTAGCAGCAGAGGACGTTGAGAGGGTGTATGCTTTTTGAGAAGTGCAATGGGTGATGCATTACAATTTCTGATTTGTCCCTCCAGGAGAATCAGGTCAAGATGATGGAGCTTCAGCGAGATCTGACGGGCCTCGATAACTTGGTGCAGCCTGGAAGGGTTAGTACTGATGTTTTCACTCTCTCTCTCCCTCCACATTCCTTTTACTGTTTTTGATTTCATAAAACTTGCATGTGCGCAGCAGGTATGACGACAAAGGGAGGACAGCACACAAACGAGGCACAACTTCCAACTGATTTTTATTGAAACTTGTTTTGGTATTTGTAATCAACCCTCTTCTCAAAACACAACCCAGAACAGCCATCACAGAGCATGCGCAGAGTACAGCATTATCTCGATCTCAGGAAAGCAAGCTCCTTTCCAGATAGCATCAAGATCGATTGGGGAGCTAGTTTGTTTGAACACGTAGACTGTGAATTAACAAGTGCAAATGACTAAAAAGAAAAATTAACAAGTGCAAATGACTAAAAAGAGAAATTAACAAGTGCAAATGACTAAAAAGAGAAATTAACAAGTGCAAATGACTAAAAAGAGAGAAAGAGATTCTTCTCCTCAGCCGACATGGGAAATGGTGCTCTCAGCATCCATGTCATTACAACTTTTTTGAATTAAAGTTTTGTTGTAAAATAATTACAAGCTAAGCTGTTAAGGGCTAGGTTCCCCAGGATTGTGTCCGGTACCAAAGAAATGTTGGCACAAACCTACACAAACCTCTGGACAGCTACCGCCATCTATACGCGACGGCGGCAACCAGGCAATTAGTATGGTTACCGCCGTCGCTCATAGATGGCGACAACCTTTCTAGCTATCATAGAAGAATGGATAGTTGGGCGAGTTTGTGTGAATTTATCGTAGGACACAGGTGCAGAAAACAGACGAGGACGAAGAAGAAACACGTGACGAGCACAGCGCATGTCACATGTGTTTCTTCTTTGTCCTCGTCTGTTTTGAGTGCTGTTCCCTACTCTCTTATCGGTTTCGGTTTGGACTCACGATGCGTTGGCCGCGTTCCCTTTCTTCGGGGAAAGGGAACAGGTTTAGGAAGGAGCGGCGACGTAAACAGCAGCGCGGATGGGTCCGCAACCACCGCGTGCGTCGAGCGCTTCAGATTTTGTTGCCAAAGAAGTACAGAAAGCCACCGCTGAGAACAGAAGCTACAGCTCCTTTGCTCTTCCTTCTTCACCAAAGTGAAAAAGCTGAATGTTCTTTTTCTTTTTTTTTATTTCTAAAGCTAAATATGTTGTCTTAGTGGCAGCTGAGAGTTTATTTCTTTCTCTCCTGCTTTTTCCCTTCCACATTGTCTTTCTGTACATGCTCCATTAAATTCATAGTTGCAAGTGCTCTGTCCTGTCCCCTTCTTCTCTTCTTAGTCATTTGCACTTGTTAATTCACAGTCTAGACATACCTTTTCATATAGCGCTGTCGAAGGCATAGTGACAGACGTATTGCCTAAGTTATCGATGCGATCAGCTTCTACAATTTCACGCGTTATCATACCCTTGCTTCTATTTTCAATTGTAACGCATCTGTCAAACAGTGGGGCACAACAGCAAGTCCTGCAATGTATGTCAAGAAAGCCACAGTTATGTTTTTGCACATTGTTACAGTGTTCGTGAAGCCAATCATTTAGGCAGCACCCTGTCTGCCTGATGTACAGTGGAATCTCGTTAATTTGAACCAGAGAGGGACCAACAGATTATTTGAATAATGAAAAGTTTGAATGACCGGGGAGTTTCCTCCCTAGAAACACATAGGACGGGACCTGCACATTGGTTTCAGTTACCCGCATGTTTGAATTAAGAGAGTTTGAATTAAAGAGATTCCACTGTACTGCCTGCCGCAGGACAGCAGAATGCGATACACCATGCAATCTGCGCACTTGACAAATTTTGTTTGGTGCTTGTTTTCTCATGTGTGTTTGGCAGGCACGTCGGGCTTTGCTAGTTTGCACAGGATCACGAGCTCATTGGGTGCAGAAAACACTACCTTTGCGTCGGGCAGGCAGGGCGCTGCCTAAATGATCAGCTTCACGAACACTGTAACAACGTGCAAAAGCACAGCGGTGGCTTTCTTGAGATACATTGCAGGGCTTGCAGTTGTGCCCCACTGTTTGATAGATGCATCACAATTGGAAAAAGAAGCAAGACTAGAATAATACATGAAATTGTTGAAGCAGAACACATTGATTACCTAGGAAACCATTGATTACCTAGCTATGCCTTCAATAGTGCTATCTGAGAGGAGCCTGCTTTCTTGAGATCGAGATAAGGCTGTGCCTTGTGCATTTTCTGTGATGGTTGCTTTATGTTGCGTTTTGTGACAAGGGTTGATTACAAGTACCAGAACAAGTTTAAATAAAACTTTCAGTTGAAAGTTGCACCTCGTTTGTGTTCTGTCCTTTCTTCGTCCTTGTCTTTGCTGCGCATGCACAAGTTTTATGAAATGACCAGCAAACTAGCCCAAACAGCCACTCGTCTTTGATTAGTTGTTTTTCGTTTCATTTCTCTTTCAAGGCAAGGAATCGGGGTGTTGTTTGTCTTTGTTGCAGGAGTTTGTGAGGGAGGGTTGCCTCCAGAAGCTGTCGAGGAAGGGTTACCAGCAAAGAATGTTCTTCTTGGTAAGTCTCAACTTGCGTGGCACAAAAAAATGTATTTTCTAATTGTCCAGGGAGGTTAATTAGTGGAACCGTTAAAATGAAGCGGGCAGAGAGGAAACTGGCGATCCTTTTCTCCCCCCTGCAATTCAGCAAAATCTAGTGCATGTAACCGAAAACTGATACTATGTTTTACTTTTAAGGGACACTGCAATGAAAAAAAATGTTTTTTTAAAGAACTTTTTTTTTAACAACATACCGTATTTACACGATTGTAAGTCAACGCGATTGTAAGTCAACCCTCCCACATTGCACATCAGCAAAAAAAAAATTTTAGATGCGCAATTTACTGCGAACACGTGAGAATGGCAAAGTATCTGTTTCGAAAGCCCAGCCTCCAACACAGGATCGATGCCTTCTGGCGTGCTGCGTATACATGCGCGAGGTGCATGAGATAGGAAGTCCACACTGCACTAGGAAGTCCGCACTGGAGGCTGGACAACTGAAGCTGCTTCCATTTGTTCCCACTCCATCCGCGACTAGACTACGAATAGTCCGCACTGGTGATATCGGTCCCATCGCCATCACTGCTATGTTCTCGAAGTACATCGTCGGCGGCGTCCAACGAAACCTCCCACTTTGCAAATAACCGCATCTTCCGCGCTTGCTCGTTGACCGCGTTGCACGTCACGGGTAGGGACCGATTGCACACTTTTGCGGCGTACGTTGCAAGCCTTCGGCCCGCGGATGCCTCCTTGTTTTCCGTCACACTTTAGATTCCGCACCATTGCGAACTCCACTGGAGAGCATCGCCCGCTCCGACGGGTCAAACTTGCGTCCAACAGTGCAGTTGTTGGTAGTTTCTGGGTGAAGAATGGCCATAAATGAGCACCGAAGACCTAAACTGCCCAGATCACATGTGTCTGTACAAGAAAAAAATTGACCGCATCTTGATTCGGGCAAAGCTCTGGTGGTGCTTGTCTGCGTAGATGCTGAGCCGCAGCATGCCGAGCCTTTCGTTTGTTTTCATCCATGTCAGAAAGAGAATGCGTGGTATGGAACGTGGTTATATACGCATTTGACCGCAGCGCCCTCTCGTCTATAAACGTTGAGCCTATGCATGCAAAATTCAACGCGATTATATATGCATTTGACCGCAGCGCCCTCTCCTGTATAGACGTTGAGCGGCTACATGTAACGTTTTATCCATGACGTTCCCAGCTCTTGAGTTACTACCACATCTCAGAGCCCCCTACTCGTCCCGCAGTCGTGGCCGAGTGGTTAAGGCGATAGGCTGGAAATATTGGGGTCTCCCCGCACAGGTTCAAATCCTGTCAACGCGCAAACTTTTTTTTTTTTTCTTTTTTTTTTTTTTTTTTTTTGTTTTACACGAGCACATGAGCCCACGAGCACTAGCAAGATCGATGTGAGCGCCGGACACCAAACGGACAAGGCTAGACCCTAAGGAGCTTCGCCCCTAAAAAAACATAGTTAGCCCTCCAGCATGATCTCGACACCCGATCGAACTATGTGCAACCATGGATCGCGCCAAAAACTCCAAAAAGACACCGCGGGGGGTGGGCCGTGAGGCTGTTCTAGCAGCCTCCGGGGTGGCTTTTACAAGAAGTGCCGCCACCCCCGGAAGTCGGGCGCGTGGGGCACTTTTCACCGCCGTACATTTGGGTTAATTTGCGAAGCGCTATCGATAATACTTGTTCGCACAAATAAAAGAAATTAAAAATTCGTAAATTGAGCGCGCAGAGTAGCGCAATGCTGCAGGCACAGCTGGCTGAACTCGTAACAAGCGAAGGTGTTCTTGATATTGCAATTGTTTCATTTTTGTTGGAGGTGGAGTGCTGTAGTTCGATTATATTTCCAAAGATTGAAGAATGGGTCGACCTACATTTATGTAAATACGGTAATTGGGCCGCACATCCTTTTTCGCAATAAATTTTGCACAATATTTACGCCGTTAGACATAAATTAGGTGGAGGTCCAGGCCCGCTCTAAGCCCCGCCCACAAATCAGTTACCCCGCCGATTACTGCTAGATTGGCTTGGCTCCTCAATTGGACATGCTGACGAGCCTGGCGTCTCCCTTTCCCGACATCTGGCGCATCTAGTCTGGCGTCTGATGTCTGCTAGTTGTGCGAGCAGATGCACGGCAGCCTCCGGCTTTGTCTGCTATTTCACCACCATCTATCGTCGTCTGTCGTGTTCAGAGGACATTGACATTAACGCTGTTTGTCTGCATCCATTCCCACCTTCGTCCGTCTGTTATTCCACCTCCGTCTAAAAACTTTTACAACGCTTGCAAGGCTCCACCTTTAAAGCGGAGTTCTAGCATTCCATCATGCACGAGCCATGTTTCATACAAACGTGTGTCATCGGCTGTTGATATGCGGTAGAAAGTGACTGAGAGGACTAAAAAATTCAACAAAATAAATAAGTAGTTTTTCCAGCGTTTTTGTTCTCGTTATTTCTTTTGCATAGCGTCTGCGAGCAAGGTGGGTAATCCTCACAACGCACATTTGAAACGCGACCTAAAAATATTCGCTTTGGCAGGCCAGGTACGCTGGATCTTTTGAGAGCTGCTTGCCTTTCGATTTCTTACCTGTGCAGTTGTCTTCTCAGTATTGAAACCATGGTTGCAATTGCGACAGTTGCCCCATTTACTGAACTGTGCGGCCGCTCTTATGCAAACCAACATCTTTATTTAACGTCATCGCATGGGGAGCCAGGTCGAGCAACATAGTTGACATGGGACGCTAACGCCAGTCCCACTCTGAAGACAAGCTCCAGCGTAACGGGCTTGAGTTGAGCTAGTCTAACTAGGATAGGGCCAGCTTGCTGCTCCCAAGTTCCTCTCCCGAGTTCAAGCTTGCCTCATCCTAGTCAATCGCCCGCACAGCGCCTCTGAAGGCACATACTTGCGACAGTTGTTTGTCGCATACTACATTGGCTGAGATCTTCCTCTAAACACCCCTGTGAACGCAAAACGAGCTGCGCTCATTGGGCACTTTGCAGACGCCAGCAGCCATGTTCATTATCGTTCCACACTGATGCAGAAAAGGCAATCTTTAGATACTTTTGAAACCAATAAGGACTTTATCTATATTATTTGTTTCTCAAACATTAAAAAAGATTGTCGATTAAAATACTATTATGGCACGGAGTTACAATTTTACAGCAAACATTTCACGCATCAATCATCTGTCCAACTGATGAGAGATGACAAAAGGTGCTTAGTTATCTAACCACTGGACAGTGCTTAGAGCAGGTCTATCCACAGCTAATTGGTGTCTAACAAAGTAAATATTTCTAAAAAAAGACGTTTCTTTGGGAAAAAATTCACAAAAATAAAATATGTCCCATTTAAGCACTTAATTTCTTTTTTTCATTTCACTGTTTTTTTAAGAGCATGATGAGCCAACGAATCAATATTTAATGGCAAATACACATAGCATGCCCACAGAAGAGCAATACTTTTTAGCCAGGGAGGAACAATGCGAAAACAAAAGCATACACAAACAAGCCGCAAAGATGTTGTACAGTCAAACCCGTTTATATTGAAGTCGCAAAAAAAACTGTCTGTCAGTTACATATAGCGGGTAGTTCAATATAAAAGTTTTAAGGAATTTGACAACAAGCAAGCATGCCACATTTAGAAAAGTTGTTTTCTAACCAGTGGGGAAACGCTGCAAATTTTGTTCGGTGTTACCGCATTTTACAACGGAGCTGTTAAGGGCTAGTTTCCCCAGTTCCGTGTTCGTGGACAAACAAATCTCGACAGAACCCTCTGGACAGCTACCGCCATCTATAGGCGACGGCGGCAACCAGATAACCAACCTGCCGGCTGTCGCCGTCGCTCATAGATGGCGGCACATAATACAACTTTGCTGCTCTTCCTTCTTCACCAGAGTGGAAAGGCTTAAAGGATTTTGCTATGCATTTTGAGCTCAGTTACTAGACTGTTGAGAAATTGTTCGATACAAGGGATAGTTTGAACTAACTGGGTTCAATATAATTGAGTTTGACAGTACTTTTTGGTTTTCCTAAATTCCGATCGCACCAACTCAAGGGTTACTTTTCGGCGAACCCTCGTTGTAGGTCAACCCTAATCGTTCGGATAATTCTCTGGAAAGAAAATGCCTTTCTCCCAAATGAATGCTACGACCTGTATCCGGGGCAGTTCTCGGACGTGCTGATCTACGCCAGCCGGACGTCTGGGCCGCGACTGCAGTTCAAGGTGCACGGGCAGCTGCCGCTGCAGAGCCTCATGGTGGAGGAGACAGAGCCCAAGGTGGAGGCCGCCTTCCGCTTTACCATCTACGCCGGCAACAGGGCTCTCATGGTGGCCGCAGGGTGGGTCCCAAGCAGCTTCTCTGGAAGACCTTTTTCCACCGTGCCTCTGCTCTAACGTACACCCTCTCCCCTTCCGTCCCGCCATCCCGCACGACCGGCATCGTCAAAACATGCGCGTTTCCTCTTTTGATCACATTCGTTTTGAGCATCGGTAGTATGGGGCAGAGAAAGCCACGAAAATTGACGCACGACTCCAGTGTGTTTGGACCGTAGAGTTAATAATCTAGATGGAAAGGTGCCACACATTTCATTTGCTTGAGGAGGGCGTGACGTAGCTAGATGTGGACATCGGCGGTCTCGACGGGACAATCTTGCTGGTAGTGCTTCGATGTGCACCGGGAAGAAGGAAAACATTACTCTCAAGGTCTGTAACTAGCGTGTTTTTCTAGCTTTATTTTGTACGAAAACACCACCGTTGCAAAACGGACACACCTAACTTGTAGTCCGCTTTCTTTTTCCATTTTCTCGTCGCTCTCTCTCTCTTCCTTTCTCTCGGGACTGCTGACGTCGGCACACAAGATTTGCCTCCTCTCGCTCGCGTCTTTACCCCCCCAATACCGACGGGCGGACGGAGGCTTTTTGTGCCGATCTTCATTCGTAGCTTGCAGACAAACCTCCGGACGGCGCTCATTACTCGCAAAAAGCTCCATTCCAGAGATCTCGCGGTTGATTTGGGGGTAATAATGCGGACGTCACGAATGGTACCGCCGTCTCTCTTCGGATGGGCTCAAACGACTGGGTTAAGAACACGGTACTTGCCTCGTATGGAATGCTTTCTGTAGTGCACTGACATCATCTCCTTTGCATAAGTTTTTTTACGGTTCCACGCGCCAAAGTTGCATCCCGGTAAAACAGTTGTCAGCAAATCGGGGTTTTACGCGGTAAAATCGGCGCCAGTTTCTTGTGCCAAATGCCAGGAAAAATTAATGCCACAAGCCGGTAACCTTACTCAATGACCACGAAGCGTGAATCGGCGAAGGCGGGGGATGGGCAGAATTTGAGACTGCGGCTTCTCGTGCTGTGGACGTGCATTCCTTTGCTCCGTTCACTTTTCTACCTTCTTAAAGGGGTACTCCACCGATTTTTTGAGCTACCTCAACTAACTATATTTTCTGACTCCCCGGCCTTTACTCTCTCCGGTATGCTATTTAGAATCGCGAAATTCATAATAGTTATTGCGAAATCGGCAAATGAAAATGATGCAAAAACCAACATTCAAATATACGCGCGCTTTTCAGGGCCGTGACATCAGTGGCAGGCAGGCTTGCCAGTCGAGCAAGCAGCCAAAAAATAGAATATGCCAATCATTTGTTCCGTGCTGGAGCGCGGGTACTGCAGCGAGCTTCCCAAGCATTCATTTGACACCATGAAACTGCTTCGAATCAGTTTAAAGCAAAATCTACAGCCCAAAGAGTGAACCCCTGCCTTCCACTGACGTCACTTTTTTATTGTTGCCAGTAGAGACTTCGAGCTTGAAAAACACGGTGAGGACCAAAACTGTAAATTCAATAACTTCGCGAAAGAACAATATTTTCACCTAATATTTGGGATACTATTTTCGCGATGTTTGTTGGTTAGTTTAGCAAAATTTCAAGCAAATCGGAGACAATGAAAAAATCGGTAGAGTAGCCCTTTAAAGGCCAATCAGGGAGCATAAAAGAGGAAGCTTACTCTCGCCAGCCCTTATTTTTCTCCTCGCCGTTTTTCCCGCAACGTTTAGGATTAGATAAGATTATTTGAGCAGCCTGATGGTGATCCCAAGATGCAGAAGCCACGTCTTGTTTCTTTCCCACTTCCCCCCTCCTCACTTTGACTGTGGGACTTCTCTAAAGCCGAGGGCACGTTGGAAGCTGCTTGCTCATCAGACCAGTTCTAAGCCTGTCTTTCCTCACGACACCCTCGCCCATACCTGGAAAGGAATTTGCGACATGCTGGCATCTGCTTGCACGTCCCCTGTTCATTCGTTCATTCCAACAGCTGTCTAGAAAGCTTCTTACCTCCCAAGCAATCATTAAGTGTTTTTTTTTTTCTTGTGAGCAACTTTTTTGTTTTTTGAGGTTTTTATTTTTAATATGCTGCAGCTTTTTAAACCATTAAATGCTTTTTAATGCTGCTCCCAATCCCCAGATTTTGTCTGTCGGTCCTTCGATGTATTTCCCGCTAAAGTTAGCGGGGAGATTGATATCGCAAGACCTACCGTATTTACTCACATGATGAAGACACCCCCCAAAACGGGTACCAATATTTGGACTTTTTTTTTCCCTCGCGTAATAAACGCATTTCCAACTTTTGGCTACGCGAGTCTCGAATTGCGTCCGATTTTGCTAGCCACCAAGTCAATTTTCTTTTGCTGCCAAGCGGTCTCGCAAAGTCAAGCCAAGCCAAGCCGCTCTCGTAATGGCTGCAAGCGGCTGCAAGTGCGTAGTTGCAGAAATGATCAACCGTGAAACCGAGCAGCACGCACACTTAACGAAGCTTGGGTCAAAAAGTTGCCCAGCCACGGACATTCTTCGCCTATCTGATGCATTGATGTCAATGAACACGCCGTCATCCGTGGTTCGCTTTTGGACAATGAGTGAAAGAGGTTAGTTAGGCCTAAGAACGGTTGCGTTACTCTCCGTGCTGAGTGAGCTTCGTACAGCGCTTTCCTTCGGCAAAAGGCACGCCAAAAGCGCCCAAAAAGGTTTGCAATCTATAGAACACGATTACTGTGGCGCGCCCACTATCTGCCATGGGCGCACCTCCATCAGTGGATATGTGCCACAGTACCCTGCCATGTCATATTGGCACCTAAAAAGACAATTGCACAAAGTGTGTAAATGCAAAAATGTTATGCCGCACAATGAACGCCCCCCCCCCCCCCCCCCCCCCCCCCCCCCCCAAGAATGTGGAAATTTTTCAGAAAAAAAAAGTGTGTTCTTTATGCGAGTCAATACGGTATACACAAATTCAGTTTCTGAGCTAAATTTAGCGGGAAAATTTATGTGACGTGACCTGACGTCGCGGGACATACGGATCAATTTAATTTCCCCGCTAAATTTAGCGGGGAAATTTTTTTTTCCGCACATAATGAACACATTTTTGATTTCCTTTTGCTTCATACACCGGTTTGTGCACCCACGCGTTTTCTCGCAATGCTCTCGACTTTCTTCGACTCCCAGTGATTCAGTCGCTTTCTTGATTTTTCTGATAGTTCGAGGCATGGTTGCAGTCCATGCAATTGTATGCGCGAGTATATGGAAATAAATGCGTGGTAATTTTGAGTTTTGCTTAGAGTCTGGTTAATTAATTAGAAGGATTGTTTTGGGTGCTCCAGAAGTCTGGTAATTCTGGGAGCATGAATAGGCCTCGCAATAACACCGAGCACACCTAAGACGTGGTTGTGCAAGCTTCACCTCTCCTATCTAGGCAATTGTAAAAAGACCAAACGAGCACACTAAAAAAAATGCCAAGTCGCCAAGGTAATTGTGCCATCAAGCCGAGCACGGTGGTGCGCATGCACACGCCTGCTGTGGCAGTGGTATTCGTATAGAAGTGGGAAGTTGCAGAAGCGATCAGCATGCGTGGTCACGCGGCACGCACGGCCGACAGAGCTGGACTCGAGGAGTTACCCTGCCCTCAGATATGTCTTGTCTATCGACTACATTGATGTTGACAAACATGCTGTGGCCCGTGGCAGTGATGTGATTGCTGCGCCAATTGCGCCAAACTGCGCCAAGGCAATATCCCTGCTACATCCTGCTACATTTTGCCAAAATAAGAGTAATCTGCGCCAAGCCTGCGCCAAAAGACCAATTTTGGTCGCTTTTCGAAACCGAACTTAAACTGAGTACCATAATTGAGCATGCGTGAGCTAGGTAGTGCAAGCGGCCGCCCGACACAAAGTACGCTACATCAATGGTCCATTCGGTCTTGCATGGTTTCTCCCGCCGTCTCTCGTTTCGCGCTCTCGTCGTCTCGTAAGTCTGGTCTCGCGTATTTTTAAAACGTTTTCAACGTTAGACGCCGGCATGTGTGGATGCTCCGACGGTATAGCGTACCGTGTACTAGGCCAGCCATGCCGTCATACTGTGAAACGAAACCGCGCTTTTGCGCGGTGGGAGTTACTTTGTGAGCTCAAGCACTCGCTCCTGAGTAGAACGGCCGTTGGAAAACTATATGTGGTATCTGCCTGAGGCTGCCAGTCACCGTGGTCGCGCAACGTTGGGTGTTGCCGTCCACCCGTCGCTGTAGATGTGGCGCTTTATAAACTGAAATGTAAGGACTGCCGCATGTTCATCAACATTCCTGTTCTCTTTTAAATCATACGCTACTACAAGAATCCCTTTTTAACTCAGTTTGCTGTGTCGAAAAATTGATTATCTATGTTTCTTTTGGTAGGTTTCTTTTCGAGAGGGGCACCAGTATGTGAAAAATCTCCCGCGGAAGAAAGTGGGTGAATAGAAGTCAGCTATAAAACAAAGAAGGCAATGAATGCACGCTGAACCCGCACAGCGCGCTTGTTCGTCTCGAGTTAGTTCGTTGCACAAAGAGCTCCAAGAGCTTTTTGACCCTGGCTCGCGATGTCTTGCATCGATACGCTCATATTCTGTTTTTGTGTGTGTTTAGCATGTACCTTGTTTGCCCACCTGGCAAGCACGTGCCGCTGGACGTTTTTGTCGTATGCTGGACAGTTACATTTTGCATACAGTTCTAGGAACAAGTTGGCAACGGAGCGGAGTGGCATGGTTTCGGTCGAACAGCCACCATATCCGTTCACGCGATGAAGCACGTGCAACTGCAAGCCTGCCGTAGTTGCCCTCATGTGCATACGAATATGACTGCACGACAGAGGCACAAGCTGGGACGCTTGCAACCTATTGTTTTACGTTTGCTTACTTTTGACGAAAATCTGGCACCAGTGAAACGGCAGCAAACGGTTTTTTGGAATCACTCGGCAACGCCTACATCACTGTACACTTATGGGATGTCTCAATATCTCTTTGGAGACATTGAAAGTTGACATTCATTAGCCGAAGGCAAAGCGAGGCTTGGAGCAGCGTTTCAGAAACTGTCGAAACGCGAAAAGAAAAGCACCCGCTAAGACTCGTAATGCACCTTTGTCTTGTGTACTGTGCGATTTCGCATTGCTCTGCAGTATAAGGTACGTGTTTCTTCAGTCGGAGACTGCTTCCATTTATTATATTATATAACTAGTCAACCTACTGCTGTGATATTTACTACTAAGCTGATCATTTTCAAATAAATTTTAATATAGGCAGTTTGTTTCTTATTTATCTGTAGCGGGTACATATATATGTGTCTAATTTAACTGAAGCACTGCAAAATGTGTCATGTCATTGGTATTTCAGTTACACGTTGAAAGACTCTCAGGTGGTTTAGCTTGACCATAATTTGATTAATTGCGGTGAGCAAAGTGCCCTTCGTTTGTCCAGCACTTAAAACAAATATTTTTATTTTTTCTGAGAATATCTGCTCCAAAAGCAACTTTTGCTGCTCCGAAACAGTGTTTTGGCTGCTCCAAACGCCACTTCGGGTGCTCCAAAACACTGTTTTGGTTGCTCCGAAAGGTGCTCCGAAACGGGTTAGGCCAATCACATCACTGCCGTGGTCTTGTTTTTGCTAAACAAAATTGTGTGGGCAGTTAGGCTTGGAAGCTGCGTCGCCTTTCATGCTGAGCACCATCGACGTGGACGCCAGGCGTTGTAGAGTGCTCTTTGGCAAAGGGGAGGCCAAAGGTGCCCGAGAAAGCTTTGCAACTTGTAGAGTGTGGTGATTGTGGCGTGCCATGGTAACTCAAAGTATTACCACATGTAGCGAATGCACCCCTCAATTTGCCTCTATGTCCTGCGAGTAAATACGTTAACTGGATCCTTAACGTGATGTCTGCAGCCGCTCTGAGGCTTTAAGGAGTATTGCCTCCAGGTTTGGTTGAATGCGTCTTCTTGCGGAATAATTGTGGCGGTGGCTTGTCCCAGATCTGAGGAGGAGCGTCAGCGCTGGATGAAGGACCTCTCGGACTGCATCGAGCTGGCAAGAGACCACAAGGACACAGGCCTCTTCTATTCTAGTCTCAAGTCCTGCAGTGAGTTTCGCGCAGCTCCCCCTCGTAAAAGCCCGCGTTTGTGTCTTGGGGCAGTCTGATGGAGTGCATGAAGCAACTTTTTAAGCAACCAGTAGGGATAGAGCAGCTGGGTCATGCACAGGATTGTGTACAAATAATGTAACCAGAAACATGTGCAAAACTTTTTATGGGATAATAATGAGTTAACCCAAAAAATGTATAAAAAAATGCATGTTGGATACAAAATGATGTAACCAGAAATGCGTAAAAATTATTGTTGGGTTCGGGAGTATGGAGCCAAAAAATGTGCAAAAATGGCCAACGGATATGAGATGTACCAGCAACATGTGAGAAACTGCGTGTTGGATGCGTTCTCTCCAAATGGAGAGAAATTAAGAGTTTGAGTTTGAGGATGATGTAATGGGAGTGTGTGAACTGGGGTCAGGCCCACATGTTTATTTTGGGAAAAGACTGGCCTAGTAATGGTTCCAATTTTTGCATTGTAGATTTCTCTGTCAGACAGCTATCACTGCAATACAGGTGTATCTCATGCCAAGTGTGTCAGCAAAGATTTTGAAAAATCCCTAAAAATAGGATGGTTGAACCGGGAACAAGCTGCCGGCCATAGGGAATGTCAGGGATTGAAAAAGAAACCTACGAAATAATTAACTAAAATGTACTAATCAAGTTCGTGATTAATGAAGATAAACCAATGGTTTAAGTTAGAAACTAGGGTTGTGCAAATTTTGAAATTTCAAATAGTAGTTCCGAATAATACACTATCCGACCTTCGCTTTGAGAAGAACTGCACTATTTGTATTTTAGGGGCGAAGCTCCTTAGGGGCTAGCTATGTCCATATGTCCTTCCGGCGTCAGGTGCTCGTGCTCACGAGCGCGCGAGCACGTGCTCCCGTGCTCGTGTGGGGCCAAAAAAGGCAACCGCATCTCCACGTGGTGAATGATGTTGATTGGGGCGAAGCTCTGATGGTGCTTGTCTGCGTAGACAGTGAGCCGCAGCATGTCGAGCCTTTCGTTCATTTTCATCCATGTCAGAAAGAGAATGTGTGGTATGGAACGTGGTTATATACGCATTTGAGCATTTGACCGCTGCGTGACATGGATGAAAACGAACGAAAAGCTCGGCATACTGCGGCTCACCGTCTACGCAGACAAGCGCCACCAGAGCTTCGCCCCAATCAACATCATTCACCACGTGGAGATGCGGTTGTTTTAGAGCGCAGCTCTTAGGCGCCCGTTTCCGGCTTGAGCGGCGTCGCCGTCGGCGTAACCAAGGTCACCCCAAGGTCACATGACCCCCCAGGTCATCCCAAGGTCACGTGACCCTCGAGGTCACGTGACACCTTCCAAGGTCACCTCAAGGTCACGTGACCCCCCCCCCCCCAAAAAAAAAAATCGCGTGACCCCCTCCTTGATGTCACGTGACCCCCCTCCCCCCAAAGTCACGCGACACCCCCCCCCGAGGTCACGTGACCTCCTCCCCCGAGGTTGGGTGACCCCCCCCGGAGCATATTAAAGAATGAGGGGAGGAGGAAAAGTGGGAGGAGGAGGAGGAGGGGTCTACCCTCCCCTCAGTACCCTTCCCTCCTTCTCCTCAAGAGCTGCGCTCCAATTCGGCATTACAGGGAGTTGCAAACGGCTTTCACTTTTTTTTTTCGAAGTGTTGATCGCGGCAGGTTAGCCCCGTTGAGTGCGCTTCTTACCAAGCACCGGTACGCTGCGGAGAAGCAATACCTGCGGAAGCGAGCTCCGCGGGTGTTGCTTCTCCGCAGCACATCGGTGCTTGGTAAGAAGCGCACTCGATGGAGTAACTTGCCGCAATAGACACTTAAAAAAGTATGAATATCGCAATTGCGCTCTTGGAAGTAAAGCATATGTTCAAAGCGGGATGGTGCACCTGTGCCGACTGTATTTGAAAACAAATGAAAATGTGAATCTGTATATCTACATTGTAATAAAAGTTTAAAAATTAAACTGTTATGCAAGAGTATACTATGTTAGGCAGAGATGCCCTTACAACCTGCATTCCTCATGCGCGATTCATTCTTTTTTATCTCAAGATTAAAGAAAGAGTATAGCAAGATTTGTAAATTCATTTCATTGGGTATAGTTGGCCATCTCTACAGGATTCATTTTATGTTGAATCCATCGTTTACTTGCCATCCCAAGACACCAGATCTTCTGAGGTCACAGTTCATAAATATAGATAGATTAAACTTAGCTTATAAATGAACAAGTGGAACAACCTTCACAAGTTCAGCTGGGTTTTCGTCTAAGTATTATGCAATGGTAGTGAAAGGCGTGGAAAAACTATTCGATATTCTAATCGAAATTATTTGGCCAAAACCACTATTCGTTTCGAATTCGCTTCAAACTCAAAATCCACTGTTCGCACAAGGCTATTAGAAAACTGCTGAGCGTCGTTGAAAACCACTAGACCAGCTCATTTTAGAAAGATACGAGGCAAGTGCACCATTTTACGGCTCTCCGAAAAAAAAACGCTCATTTTGGACTCTTTTTTAGGTTTAAGTTTTCTCTTGGTGTGCATCTTTGCGTCGTCGGTCCTGCTCCCTGGTGGCCGAGGCCCGCAGTGCACGTGTGCAATACTTCCTCCTACCTATGAGGGAAGCGAGGCGATAGCTTCACGCTTCAGCCACGTGGGGGCAGGACTGCTGGTACAAAGATGCGCTCTGATAGAAAATTGAAACATGGGAATGCATCCAAATCGAGCCTTTTTTTCAAAAGAACAAAAATGCTGTACCAGTTTTATATCTCTCTAAAATGAGTTGATTTAGTGGTTTTCGATGATGCTCAAAAAGTTTCTAATTGAAACCATGATTAAAAAGTTAATTAGCAGATTTTAGTTAATTACTTATGTAATTACAGTCTAAGCTCATTACAACAGACCTGGTTACAACAGACATTTGGATATAACATAGCGATTTGTGAAGTTTGTTTGGTTTTCCTCTACATTAATTGACTCAACTTCATATCTGCGTACAACATACTCCTTTTACAACAGACTGAAATCTTGGTCAAAATCAAGGTCTGTTATAACGAGCTTAGACTGTAGTATGTCTTAATGTTAAACATTCTTTGGCTAGCTGCTCTGGATTTTGTGAAGTCGGACTAAATTAAGTTAAATTTTGTGAAGCCGTAGCTTGTGACGTCTCATGACTTCAGTTTCCCTACTAGATTTAGCAGGAAAATTGATGTCACGTGACCTCAACACCAATTCAGTTTTCTGCTAATTTTAACGGGAAAAATGATGTCACCTGGCTTTGTGTCACGTGACCTATACACAAATCCAGTTTCCCCGCTAAATGTAGCAGGTAAATTGATGAAACATGACATGATATCACGTGAGCTACCATAAAATCTTGTAAGGATGCCCAGCCCCAGAGATTGCCCCTCCTGTTTCTCTGGCAAAATATCCTTAGCATTAAAATTTCAAAACATTACCCACCCCCCAATTCCAGTAGGACATCACGCGATGTCCGAAGGGAATCGCATGAACCGTGCAATCTGCAGCACCGGTACGTCAAGCGAGTTGAAAGCGGGTTTCCGCGTTTTTGTCTGCGATGTGCACGCGCGATTTCGGCTACCGTAACATGCGAGTTGTTCTTGCATGTACAGTGCTCAGCAAACTTATCTGGAACACATGCCCAGTTTACATAAATATCCACTGTTCTCTCATATTTTATCTTTTTTCTGCATTCAGTATTCTACAAGTGTTCCGCATAAGTTTGACGAGCACTGTACATTGCATCTTGAAATGCAAATCTCTTGCATCTGGAGTCTGCGGTATCTGTTTTCGTGACATTCAAGTTTGTAGCAAATTCCCGTGTTTTATTCCGCGATGTGCGCGCACAATATCGGTTCTCGTGGTAGGTAAATTTGTAGCGGGTTCCCGCCTGTTTATTGCACCATGAAACTTGCTGCTGCTTCCAAGATCTGTGCTATCCATTCCCATGAGATGCGAGTTCTCGGCGGGTTTCCGCGGGTCCTCCGCACCGTGAAACGCAAATCTGCTGCATCCACAGCCTGCGGTATCTTTTCCCGTGACGTTCCTGTTGCTTCCCAGACTCCTCGGACGAGCGACTGGACCGTGCCCCCCAGGAGAGCCCCGCCGGCGGCAAGTGGACGGGCCAGCCGGCGCAGCACTCCAACACCGCCCTGCACCTCTGCTGGCACCGCAACACCAGCATCGGCAGGCAGCAGCACCAGCAGGCTTTCCTGGCAAGCCACTCTCCTTCTTTTAAAGGCATTCATTGCCCCGGTGCATGCAGTCGTGTTTCGTACGGACAGTCGTGGTTTGGACTGGACCGGACCAAACTGGACAGGTTTCATGAGGCCGGGGTTCCCACCGTGTTCTTTTGCTGTGTTCGGTCACCAGTCGCATCCACTTTTTTTCTTACGAGAGGGGATCGAGTGGCCGTGGCACGGCGTACTCAACAACGTAAAACCGAGGCGTGGTGACGGCGCAGTTTGCGCGAAACCGCCGCCACCTGGGAGGAAAGATAGTGGCTACAAAGCGCAACAGGACAACCGACAGAAAGGAAGGCACAGCACTGTGTCTGTGTCTTCCTCTCTGTCCGTTGTCCTGTTGCACTTCTTAACCATTATGAATCACCAACTTGCCTAACACTCCATCCTCGTCAAGAAAGATAAGCTCTTCGAAGACAGAACTGTGCTGCGGTGGCTGCTTTCGAAACCGCCAACGCCCGGGAGAACAGACTGGCTCTCCGAAGAAAACAATATGCGGACCTTCGCGACGTTGGAATTCCCATCCTTCGGCAAACCGGAACCCCCGCGCTAAATGCCAGTGCATTTCGGCAAAAATCAGCATAGCGACAGCGGTGATTTCGGCTTTCTTTTTTTTGGCATTTCAGAACCTTTTTTGTCTCGAGGAGCCAACATTTGCTTTGGGCTAAAGCTAAGGAACCCCTCCCTGTCTTGGCATTGAGGAAATAAAGCAGACACATACAGCGCTTGTAAACGGTGATATCGAGAGAAGGCTCGTAGCTATGCGTCAATGGCTGGCTCCGATTGGCTGAAGTAAGGGAAAACTTATTTAGGGGTTGGGGCAGTCGAGGAAACCTGGGCAAAGTGACTACATTGAGTTCGCAGGTGTCAAAAAGGGAGTCCCAAACCATTTAGTTCAGCAATGTCTCGTCCACAACTTTTTTTTAAAGTGATAATTGTAAAAACAAAATGTGTAAATAACATCACAAAATGTTGGACCAAAAAAAAAAAAAAAAATTCTATCCCTACACGAGGGATTGAACCAGGGTCTGCTGCATGTGAAGCAGACATCTTTCCATTAAGCTACTCTGACACATGAAATAATTGTTTTTCATGACAACATAAACTTGTGGGTGTCTTAAGCATAGGTAGCTTTCTGTCGTGGATCTCGAAATATGATGGTTTTAGCATTGTAATGTTCAGGCAGACGAGGGGTGACTCCTCGTTCGTAGTAATGCAGCCGGTCGACTGTAGGTGGGAAAGTTTGTTGCAAATTTTCCTGCAGCAAAGACACTCGCCAGGCTTGAAGTCGGGCAGCACCACGGATTGGCCACATTCGCACCTAGTAAAGAAATCATACGCATGCATATTCAACTCGAAGTACGCACTTTGAGCTTGACGTTTGCGCGAGCGATGTCTTCAGTCATGTGAAGGGGCGACGGCTCGGTGACGTTTTCATGCAAATCGACTTGGTGGTCGGGGTTGTCAAAACGGAATGGATCCTAATTGTTCTGATCGGTACAAAATTTCTCTTTCGAAGAAAGAGATTCGCCAGTACCGCGAACGACAGTTCTGAAGTAGAGGTTCCACACCCGTCGTCCTCTGCCATCTCCATCCAGCCTGCGAGTCCCACGATACGCGATACAACGCCACATTGAGAATTATACATTGAACGTACAAAATGCTTCCTGTTGTCTGTGCAACTTTTTTTTTTTTTCAGTCAACATATTTGTAGCTTTTTAAAAGCCACAAAAACTGGGTTTCATAGTTTTTTTGTATTTTTAATATTGAGTGTGTGCCTTCAAGGACCCATGACTTTGATTAAATTTGGTGGTTGTGTGCAAGCCTTAGAAAACGGCTTGTGACCACGGAGAAGAGACTGAGTGTGGCTCAAATTAGCCAGTTCTCGATCGGCGATTTTCGTGCAAAATGAAAACCGAATTTGGAACCGAAAATTCTGTTCGAGTAGTTGGGCTCTCATATTTCATGTAGAACTAAAAACCTCAGCGAGCATAAATACCCTATCAGTGTCTTTTTAAAGGAACTCTGAACTGAAATTTGGATTTTGCAAAATAAGGCCACGGAAGCATTGAGGGACGCTTCGAACTCCAAAACATCACTCGTACATCGATATCTTAAACGGATGCTCATACTTTTGAAAAAGAATGGCGCGATCAAGCGGCATCTTTGGCGTTATTGTCATCCGGGAGAATTTGAGAATGTGGGGAAGCGGCCTCGCTTCTCTTCTCCTCGCTTCAGTTCACCAGCTCGACAGGACTGAGCGAGGAGGAGAGGGAATGGGAATCGTAACGTGACTTGTCTCGTCGGTGATGCTCAATCGCGCACATCTTTTCCAAAATAATGGCAAAATTTTGGTTCAGCATTCCTTTAAACAAATAGCACCTCATAAACTATTTTGACATGCTTGTCTATCAAAATATAAAGTTACTCTGTGTAAACTTTTCGTGTGAGCAGGCCTACGATAATAGTCATCCTAAAACATGGTGCCACTTGGCGCTGTCTCCTTAAGTGATCAAAAAGAAGGGATCTCCCGCATTCTTGGGAGGGGAAAAGCCTGCTTTTGTGGTAGATGGCAAGGCATTTCTCATTCCAGCAATACCGGTAACTTCCGGTAACTTGGAACAATCCTAAGGTGACGGCTGACGTGCAACCTGAGAGGAGAATTCCCAAATTTTGAAGTACAGTAGAATCTCGATAAACGGAAATCGCTTAAACGGAATTGCCGCTTAAACGGAACAGTAGCCCGTAAGTTGGTTGGTTTTGTATTCAGATAAGGTAAAAAAACTTTCGGTAATTGGAACTAAAATTTGCGCTTCACTGTGTAAACGGAACCGAAAATAGAACTTCTGGCAGACCCATTGCCATGAGCATCAGCCCTTTCCGGTTCCGGCTGTTTCTTTTTTTTTTTTCTTTTCTAGCCTCGTAAGCCTCGTTGGCCTCGCCTCGTTGGTAGTCGGCGCAACGAATGCAACACTGCTGTTCTTGATCAAGTCGTTCGGTCTCTGTTCGAGTTGCCTAGGTTACAGCCGCATCGTTCCTGCCGTCGTGGTGCCTATCGTGCTTCATTGCCGCGTTGGTGTCTTCCAACTTCGGTGGCTAGTAAGCGCTCGCGAAGTTGAGGCCTTGCCTCCGTTGTTTCAATGGCGACACAGAAGCGGGCACACCATGCGCTGACGTTGGAAAAGAAGATGGACGTCATTCTTGACTTCGAAAGCGGCTCATACTCGAAGACGGCGCTCGCGACGAAGCACGGCGTCCCGAAAAGCAGCTTAACGAGGATCCTGCACGACAAGGACAAACTACAAGATGCCTTCGAAACTTCGCGATTCGGGCCCCCCAAAGGAAGCGTCTGCGACACGGCGACCACGAAGAACTGGAGAAGTGCCTGGTTTTGTGGCTTAGGGGAGCCCGGAGCCAGAGCATTCCCATCAACGGGCCACTAATCCGTGCCAAAGCAGAAGAGTTTGGCACGGATTAGTGCCAAACTCTTGTTGGCTTAAGGAGCCAGAATCGGAAGTGTTTCTCCAAAGCCTAAGTGACATGGAGAAAAAGATTCTGAAGATGAAGATGCAAGGACTCAAACAAAAGAAAATTGATGCATTTTTCAGTCCACAGTGATTAACTGCTGCCTAATAAACTTGTGAATGCTATGTAAAAACCTCATGTAGTTTCCTTGCTTTCTAAAAAACTATGAGTTACATTCACCTCATAGTGTTTAGACATTCATAAAATAGTATTAAGAGAGTGTGCACACATAAAATCGGCCCTTTTTACATCTCTCTTAGTAAACGGAACTCCTGTTAAATGGAACAAATTTTTTTGGTCCCTTGGAGTTCCGTTTACTGAGAGTCTACTGTAATTCGGGAAGTGTGTATGGTGGTGTATAGTGGAAAGTCTATTTATTCTTCATCAAGGTCAAGAAGCCACTTCCCAAATTACCAGACAATGTCTGTGTGTGTGTTCCTTTCTTTTTGTGATACATACACACACACTGAGTTCATTGAAAATAGGTCCGTATACAGTAATCGCTATGGGCTTTCGAGCCTCTAACAAAAGGGATGATGATTAGTGTTTGTGTGGGGACAGAATTCTGATTGCTGCCAATGCTTATTGCTTCAGCAAACAAGACTTACAGAGTTCCCAATTTTCCCCGTGAAAAAAACAAAAAACAAAAAAACTAGATATTTGGGGGGGGAAGGGCAATTGCCCCCCCCCTTTAGAACCGCCACTGCCGTTTACGCTCACAGCTGCTGTTTTCTCGTTGTGTGTTGTACCTCTTTTGTTTCTAACATAAGTTTGTTGATTAAACCTTTATTTTTAGTTCATTATTTATTGTCTCGTTGCCTTCATCCGTGACAATATCTGTAGGTATAATTTTATGTCATATCTGCATTTACTTGCCACCCCAACATAGCCATTAGACTTTCTCATACCACAATTCATAAATGTACTGTGAAATACCGGGGCAACGTCCACCCCTTTTCACTGCACTTGTCCAGTCAAACAGGGCAAACTCAAGCGGTTTTTGGAGAAGCTACTTTTTGGTGCGATGGTGTTAAGGAAGTGTCAGTGAATGAGTATCTTCAGTTTTAGAAGGCAGAAACGCCTATTAATCACGCAGGAATAAAATACGTGCGGACTCTTTTCTGTACTTGCGAGGACCAATGAAATTATCGTATGTTTGAAAATTTTGGCGGTCTTTTTAAAGTTTCGCTAAAAAAACAATTTTCAGTTCATTTCAATATGTTGTGCATGATCATTTCACAAGACGTAAAATATTTCTAGTTTAGAATACGCAATAGCGCAATTATCGTTTCACAAACAAGGGACTACGTTTTCTATTTGCCTTCCTCCGCGGGGGGTGAATTTCCCGTTCCCCAGGGATGCGCGGAAGCGCACGTATCTCCGCGCGCCGGTCGCGGGCCGGCCGGCTCCTTCTATCCGCAAACGTGGCGTCGGTGGTGATCGTCGGAATGGACGGCCTGGTGAAAGCTCATCGCTCCGCGTAAAAGCGCTATCCTTGACTGTGAATTTTCGTCGTGTTTCGCTATGATAACCCAGCACGTACTAGAAGGGAACATCCACCTACTCGTGCGGCGATGTCGTGGCGGCACTCTCAAGATAGCAGAAACGCCCGTGCCGTCGTGTTTGCTTACTTCGACTACAGTGGTGCTTCCTAAGCATTTGTGTCCTCGAACATCGCCCGGATTTCTGATCTGGCGCATTTCATGCGTGTGCTCAAGTTCAAGGTATTACTGATGCGTACCGTATAAAGGATACGAATTTTCACGCGTTTTCATCACCGGAGAAAAGTGATTAGTGTTAGCAATCCTGAACGCCCGCAACGTCTATCTGATCACGAAATCATATTTCTACGTTGCTATATCGCTGCTAAGATTACATTGTCTTTTATAATCGTAGAAAAGGCGTGTGGCGATATTTGTACTATTGCAATGTCGTGTATTAGAGTCGTGATCGTCCAAAACGGCGCTGCATCTTTTTATTTTATTTTTTTTTCATTCGCTGTACCCTGCAAGCCTATCAAGAAAAAATAATAAAGCTTTAGACTAGAAAACTGTCTGTCTATATTCTGTTACGGCATTGAGTAGCAGTGCGTCCCCTTTTTTTAGAGGGGCCGCTGACGCAGCTGACGGGGGCGTACAGAAGCGGTCGCCGTGCTGACGACCCACTGCGCTTGTTGTAGTGGTTACAGGTGTGTGTACGCGCGGCGCAGTGCGGTCGTTCCGGTTGCAACGGACGCAGTCGTAGGTACGCGCTCGTTGCACATGTCTGAACCAGCCTTCCCCCGTTCTCCCGAGGCGAAAGTCAACGTGGCGACATCGTTTGACATCACGTACCAGAGGTAACGCTGCGATGTCAAACGTTGGTTTGGTTACGACTTGCCCCAACCGCAAATCGAAGAACGCCCGAAAAGGTCTGCGTTTCGTCGTCCTCGGAACCCGAACATGACTCCGAAGCGCTGCTATCGTCCACATCGCACGTCGGAGTGGCGTTATAGGAAATCATCCCCAGGTCGGCTGTCCGCCGAAGAACTTCAACCTCTAACGGCGTCAGGTCCTCGAGCGTAGAGAACTCCGCCATGATCGAAGCTCGAATGACAAAGAGGTTCGGCCGATGCGGCTACCTCGGGATCACTGCGCGACGGAACGTCGTCCAACGCCATTGGCCCGAGATCCTTTTGATAAGCGTGCGACGACCAATGAGAGTGGTTTCGTTTTCGGATGGATCCGAGGTTTGGCGGCCTTCAATTACATTTTTATCAAAGAAATAATCACCGTATGACTATACTTTTTGGTTTTTAGGGATACTTAAGGCGTCTAAATTCAGCTGTCATTATCAAAACACGAACTCAAAAACCACTTGACTGCCCCTTTAATGTCTAATTTGCAGAATTCCCAAGTTTGGGAATTGTGGGCGCTTGAACAAAGTGGGGCACTTCCGCGGTATTTTATGGTAGTTGGTTGCACTAAAATTAACTGGGCTTAGAAGTGGACAAGTGGAAGCTTGGGAACAACCTTTACGAGTTCAGCTGGGTCTTTGTTTAAGCATGGCACAACAGTGGTGAAAGGGTTAGAAAAACTGTTCAATATTCGGTTTCAAAAATATTCTAAGCGAAATTAGTATTCGCTTCGAATTTACTTCGAACTCAAAATCCACTGTTGGCGCATGCCTATCAGTGACCCTTCCTCAAAGCACCTTGTGCTTTGTCCTCTATTTGTAAAAGCACTTGTATTTCTGTGCCCATGAGGGATTTGCAGCTGCTTGATGGAATGACCTTGCACTTTCAGCACTACCTCAGTGGCTACCTGCTGAGAAAGTTCAAGAACAGCTCTGGCTGGCAAAAGCTCTGGGTGGTGTTCACCAACTTCTGCCTCTTCTTCTACAAGTCTTTCCAGGTGAGGTTCTTTAAATCACCATTGTGGGATTGATGGGTACTGCAGACATAGAATAGTACACGAATCAAACTGCCACAAAAATGGCTGTTAGCAGAAACAGTAAATGTACCGATTGACTCTTTCCTTACCACGAGAAAACTGCTCAGTTTTGGAGGGTCCCAGCATCCTTTTTTTAGTTCTAATAAAACATATGCTTCTGAAATTTCTTGCAGCGTATCAAAGTGTAGCGTGACAACTGCTTTCTTTAATGCTATTAGCGTGAAATTGGAGCCTAATAAATTATATGCAAGATTTAATTTCTGAAAACCAAAATTGTTGTGACCAGTGCAGCACCGAGAAAAATAAGCAGATAATTTGGCAAAAATGACAGATAAAATATTTTAGAATATACAAAATATGCCATATTTAAAAAGCAAGAAAGGCTGCAAATTGCGGTGCTCTAGGTAAAAAAATCTTGTCAAGTTCTACCACATAGTTTCACCCATCGTGGCATACCATTCGATGAAGCAGTTTCTGGATGTGGTAAAACATAGGTACAGTCGAGCCCGGTTATATCACCCGGGTATTTTGAATTATTGTTTATATCGAACAGTCCAAACATTTCCCTGAAAATCACATGTGAAAGTATAGGAGCGTTGTTTTCCACTTGAACTCCCACGGTGGGGACACTCGGACACTCAACATAAGGAACTAAAGCGTCTGCCGGTCGCTTTTCCCGAGGTCAAATTGCGCCCGCCCGGCGAGCACATAGCTCGCGTTGCGGGGCTGGCAGACCGCCAAGCCAGCATACGCGTATGTTGATACTCAACAAAAAAGTAGTTGTAAAAAAAAAAAAGTGGAGGATGGCAAAAGCAAGGGCGCAGTAGGCAGGGCAGCTTATGCCTGCTGTTGGAATGGTAGCGTGCACTCTTTTTCCGAACACATTTTGGGGGCTGTCGCTGCGCGACTCCTTAGCCCCAAAATAAGATAAGCAAATAAATAAAAAAAGTCTTCGTCAAGTTGAGTGCGTCGACAACAGTTGTGCAATCGCACTTTGAGCGCCTTCAGTCATATTCACCAGTCGTGACTAACTAGCGCTGTTTTAAAGCTAGTATCGCAACTAAGTAGTCGCGAGTTAAGAGAAAAAATCTGCGATTAAATATCGACTAGTTCTGCAATATTCATGAGCGTGAAGCGAGCAGGTGACTATCTAGTCAGAACTAACAAGCTGAAGTGACGTAAAAAGATAGGTCACGCACATGCATACTTAAACGCCACTGCGTAATGGGTATTTTATCGTATAAAAAGTAATCTTTAAATTTTTATCAGGAAAAAAAAGTTATGACGAGAGACAAATTGTTTGAAACAGAGTTTTACAAAGAAAAATTTGAAAACAACACTAGGGAGAAACACGGAAGCCGCGTTGCCAGCGACATAAACGAATATGGAAGCACCCGTAAGTGTGTTTTTTTCTCGTCGTCCAGACCGCTGCTGAGATTTCTTTAGCGGCATCTCTGACCACTGAAGATGGCTATTTACACAATATTTGCTCCTCCTATTCTTTCTAGATATGTCCCCCAGCGTTCCGAGACAGTAAGTGCTTCGTTAGCGCTGTTGGTCAGCGGTGATACAAGTCGGCCATGGCACTAAGCCGCTAGTCACCCGCCAAACACCGGCTAAACTAGCCCTACCTCGTGACTAAGATTTGTTAGTCGATTTCTTAGTCGCACGGGGCGACTAGGCCCTAAACACTACCGGTGAATACCAAGCGCTCGCTTAGCGGTGACTATCGCTCACCACATGATCATTTTGGTCGATGTCGTCACTAGTCTGTGGTTAAACAGGCGCTACTCACGCCTGGTGAATACGGGGGCTTATCTTTATTTGCCTTTTTCTTTCGCTCTTTTTGCTCTGCCCATTATTTCTTTTCTTCCTTTCTTTTTTTGCTGCCCAAGTTTAGTGAGGTTTCTTTTTTGTTGCTTGCTTAACTTTATTTTATGAATGGAGAGTTTTTTTATGCGGCTCGCGTTTTCCATTCTTTCATTCTTTTAAATTATTTTTGTGTTTTGTTGCCTGGGCTTGTGGAAGCAAACACCGTCGTGTAAACGCCACGGCATTTGTGATCTTCACAAACTAAGCTCTACTCTATTTAGCGGCTCTTGGAGGCTCTATTTGGTAAGGTCCCGTTTGTGGGGCCTTCAGTATGAGCAGAAACGCGCGGAAATTTTAACTGGAGCTTAAGTTAACATATTTTTGTGTATCAAATTATCGATATATCGAACTATTTTACAATCCCCTCTGAATTCGATATATCTGGGTTTGACTCTAAATGTGGGAAGTACTGCGGAAGACATTTGTCTTGTGCTCAACTTTGCCCTCCTCATACAATCTTTTTTTTTTTTGGGGGGGGGGGGGGGCATGAAGGGGGGTTGGGGGTTTGTTTGTGATGCAGTTGTTAAGGGTAGGAGGGGTTGGACATACTGTACATCAAGTTGAAGAATCTGTTGGGAGAGCAACCGGTTTCGGAATGCGCAGTTCTGTAGAGTTCAGGAATTTTTGGGATGTTGCTTGTAGTGTGCTTGAAAAAATCACCAGCAAAGCAGTGTTTAGCACATGACACAGACGTGACACAGAATTTTGAACAAAGGTACGAACACATTTATTGTCTTGACTGGCAGTCATTGTGGCGAAAGGTACACACACATATATATTGTTGTCAATTGATCAATGGTCATTATTTCGCGTGGAAGACTATTGCCACCCAGAGGAGCTGGAGGAAAGTAGACACGTGCGACAGGACTGCCACCCCAGGAGGGTGGAAGGAAAGGAAACTAGGCGCGCAAGCGCTTGGAACGTTGACAAAGAGAGGGCGGTGCGAAATGTAGAGTCTTTGGTCATGCACACGAAAAATCTACGGAACCCTAGCCATAAACAGCTTCACTGTAAAAGAACGCAGCTGTTCACTGCTGAGATGTCATGCAGCAAAAAAAAAAACAAAAAAAAAAAAACAACAACAGCAAACCCACCTCATTGGGATATTGTACGATCCTATCAAGCAGTCCGATTTGTTAGCTCCAAGCGTTCTGACATTGTACCGTAACATCCGGAGAGACCTAAAATTGAAAGCTAACCGAGTGAAAATAAAGAGTAAGCTTACTTTCGCTGTGTGATCAAAGAAAGTAAAGAAAATGCTTGTTTATTATATTGTGTGACCTGCGAAACTTGCGATTGCAGGGACAGTCGTCTTTGGTTCATCACCTCAATGAACCAAAGACCACTGTTCTTCCCAGCCAGCAGTGTTCGCTTACCTCTTGTCGTGGCTAAGTTACACTATTTCTGCAAGGTCGCCATTCGCCAGGGCTGTGAAATTACTAGGAGTGCCAAAATGAGGACGGGTTATCTTTCGGGGCGTGACTTGGGACATTAAGGTAGTCGTGGGCAAACTGCTGCTTCTTGATGGTGTCTGTGACCATGTATCTCCTCCTTTTTCCCCTCCGTTCTGCAAGCACATGCTTGTTGGCAGAATGTACAAAGCTTATCTTGTGTATGGATCTTTCCATTCAAGATGTCAATCATTTTCAATCTGTAGCCACCGCACCTCTTTTTGCCTTTTTTACTTATTTGAAACTCTTCAACTCAGATGGGAATCCCCGACAATCTTTTTGCGTAGATGCCATGTTCGCAATGCATGTCCGAACAAACATGCATCTCCTTGGCTGCATGTTTGTTCATAATAAATCGCCATCTCATGGGAAAACAGAAAGACTACACAGAAACTACAACTAGAGTGTCTAGTCTAACCACTAAATGCGTTGTCCACAAGCACAAACCGCCCTGACTTGCACACGAGACTGGTAAAGAGCATGAAGACCGAAACCGAAACAAGCTTTACCGATATGCGGTTGTCGATGTTCCGGGCTTATTTGACGAATTGTCACTGTCGGAACTAAGATCTGATTATCAGACATCATCTCCCAACTCGCTCGGTTAGTATCAGCAACAGAATCGACCACAGACGCCTTTGAATCGCGAGAGTTTAAATGCTTCCGAGGAGGCGTGCCACACGATGAAGACGCTATGTTTGCAACACGGATCATTCTTTCTCGGCTGCGTGTTTAGTTTTGATAAAGGAACTTCCCTTGGACCTCGCTCGAGCTGCACCAGATTGTGGGGGGCATGGACATCTTGATGTTGCTCCAACTGCAGCAGCAACAGTACCCGCTCAACAGGCTACCTGACCTAACGTAACCTAAATAGTGCATTCTACATATTCTGAAGTATATGGGTGCCAAATTTGGTTGTGATAGGACAAATTCTTGTGCACAAACTGTAAAGATGCCCCAAAATTACATGAAAAGAAAAACGTGTTTGGATGTTACCATAGATGTGTAGCTATACTTTTTTGCTGTGCATGAAATAATAGTTTGTTCATAAATTTCCGTGAGAAATTCAAGTCACAGAAGACTGCATTGGAGAGGAAACGGCTGGGCCTACTTGTCGAAGTAGATGTGACGGCGTGCGACGTTACACCTCAAAAAATCACGCAGAAAAAAAATGGCTCAAATTTATGCCGCTCTGGAACGTCTGGAGGTCATTCTAATGCGTCTTTGACTAATTTCGCAGTCAGAACAAACACCAATTATTTTTATACATCAAATATAAAAAATTTTAAATAATAGAACACCACAGAACCAATTAAATCACATTTTTTCCTAAATATTCCCGTTTTTCTTCCCAAAAGTTTGGCGCTGATTTCTTGGTCTAGTTGTGTTCAAGGGAGCAGTATCACATCAGACACACCAATCTCTCATTGAAAAAGACATGAAAAGGAATTTTAAAACAAATGAAACGATTAGCAAAGAGCACCTGGTGGATGTCGCTAACGCCTTGTTGGTAATGCCCGTCTAGGAACCTTGACAGGTAGTGACAGTAACTCTCTCGCCTAGAATTATGCATGCTTTGAACCTGACGTCATTGGGATTCCTTTGTGTGTCTCAGACGTCGCTATTCTCCCTCTACAAGATTATAGAAGATTAACCCATTACTCAAAATTTATACAAAAGCAGCTTTGGGGTTAGTTGCGGTGGCCCGATCGCCGGCATGCTTCGGCCGCTTCGGTGGCTGGAACGGCTAGGACATCCCGTCGACGTCAGCCTCGCTGCAGCTTTGTTTGTCCTGAGACAATTTATGTCACGATTGCACCGGATGTCATGTGCTCCCCATTGGCTGCTCTCCGAACGCTTGCCAGAATATGCCATTTAAAACGAAAAATGCAGCCATCGGGCTCAAAATACAAATGTGCAATTGTCATTTACGGATATTGTGGATCATATTCAGCCTATTTCTGAACACGATGGGTACATTTCAAATTTTGTTGAAGTATCCCTTTAAAAAGGATTAATGAACTTAGGTAATCAGAACCTGAAATAGCTTTCCCTAGTTGTTTCATTAGCACACGGGTAGAGCATCGGATTACTGTCTGAAAGTTTGTTGGTTCGACTCTCATCAAGGGACAAAGTGAATTTCGCGAAAAAACCTGGCAACACTATCGTGCGTTTTTTTACAACTTTTTGAGACACCCTAGTTTTAAAAGTCAGCCCTAAAACACATCCTGCGTTAACATGGACGGCTTTAAAAAGTTACTGGTAAGTGCATGGCGAGAGTGAAATTGTGTGCATTGCAGGAGTCTGCCCCGCTGGCCAGCCTCCCACTGCTGGGCTACACGGTGACGGTTCCCGGACCAGACGACAACATGAGCAAGGAGTTTGTCTTCAAGCTGCAATACCGGAACCACGTGTACTTCTTCCGCGCCGAGAGCGAGTACGCCTTCGACAGGTGCGTCGTGCCTGCCGTCGGGTTGGTCGCACGTCCGCCACGGGCGGTACCAGTCGGCCACCAAAGTTGCGGATGCCCTGTTTGTGTTACCTTTGACTAAAGCAGAGAGACATAAGTGATGAAGACGGGTGCGACAGTATTATAGCATCCGGTACTGGCGTCCCTACGTCAATTCCGATCGGCGCGCCACGGCTCTCGAATCTGGTTGATGCAGATAATATGCGCGGTGCGCCTGTGGTACACCTAGCCTGGTTTCACCCCTCATTTGTGCCACGCTTAAAGGAATTATCACCACGAAAGATGCTCAGCTGGTTCTGCAATCACCGCCTCCAGACGCAAGTTTTTTTCTTCAGAGAGAACACTAAACTAACCAGTTTGCAATTCTATGTGACATGTGGAGCTGGGGGTTTCACAGGGAAGCTGTATAGGACTCATAGGTTGGGTTTCTTCGTGTCCATGACAGAAAACCATTGCACACATCTTATCACTGGTTGTGCCTGCCTTATCATTTATCCTGGGGTTTTGACACTTATTTGATTAAGAAAACCACAAAACTATTGTCAAACCACGTGATAGATGATAAGGCACACAGAAACGATGATAAGCGGTGAAGATTGTGGCTGCATAAGCTGATGTGCCAAAGGCAACATACAGTCTATCATATATAAAAAAGTTTGGTACGGGAGTTAAAGTTGTTGTTGTTGTTGTTGGTCCTCCCGGTGGTGTGGGAGGCAGGTTCCGCTTCGATGGTCTGGAGCGTGGTGGCATGAACGTCGCTGAGTGACGGGTCGACTCACTGCTTGCAGAGAACTATGTGCATTTATTTACACACTAGTTACAATTCCCAACTTGGGAGACCATCCCGCCTCGTCTAAAGTCTCGACCCCAGTCCCCAATTTCTCTCCATCAACTCCAAAGTCCGAATCCCTCAAAATCCTCTCCGCGCTCGTTTTGTAGGGCTGTAGGGGCCTCCTTTCCCCTCAGGAACCGACCAATCTCTTCAAATTCTGCCACTCGCACGTGGTACACTGTTCTCCAATGGTCGGCGAGCTGTCATTTTGGCGTCCTAACCGCCAAACCCAAACTCCTTGTAGAGTTGTTCTCTGCAATTTTCCCAGCCTGACTGGCGCCAACCGCTAAATTATTGCTTCGGGCAAAAAGGACAATTTTACACTAAGCTGAAAAACCCTCTGCATACACGCACATTCGATTATAAGGCACAAGCATCTTCCAGCGCGGGCTCTTTCGGTCCCGGTCCGAGCAGACCCCCGAAACCCGAGACGCTTCTTAACGACCGGCGGGGGGACCGCTCCCGCGTCGCGGCTGCTCTGGCCCCGCCGACCCAAACGTAGAAAGCTAAAAAAACACAATGCCGACGCAACTCTGGAAAGATAAACTTTCCTAACCAAAAGAATACACCTTAATTAATAAGCATGACTCCTAAATACTTAACTCGGGGCATCTACTTTTCTTTCGTGAATCCTTTTGTATAGACCCTTTTGCTGTTTACAAACATGAACTGCCACTTGCGTCCCAAGCGGCTTCCGGTTGCACCGTCTTAGCAAGCCTCTTGAGCTTGCTCACGCCACTGGTTCTAGAAAGCATAAATGCTACACGGACAACTCAGTTGGAGAGTTAACGAGGGTCTTCGGCTATACAATATTAGATCTTGGAGGAGGCAAGTTGGTTTACAAGAATACTCGAAACATTTTTACAGATCTCACACCCCTTCGTTCTTTTAATGTTCATCTGGAGAATTAGTGGTTAAACGTTTCATCTACATTTCAAGTAGTAGGGTTAAGGTGGCCTTTGTTCATTCCTTTTATAAGCTGGAAGTTTTCCTCTGGAACGTCAAAGACTGGAGAACTACCTGGTGGCATTTTTCATATAAAAAATCTATAGTGCAGTAGAAAATTGTTTTAAAAACTTAATTTTTGGGAGGAGGGGGGGATTGTTTAAAATAAAATTAAATGTCCATTTTAAAATTTACATTTTTACTGTTCCTCGTGCCATTGAAGCGACATCTCCGCGATAGAGAGGAATCTCATGAATTTGAACCCGATGGGAACCAGAACTTCGTTTTAATAATGCGAAGTTTGAATTGCCGAGAGTATCTTCCTAGAAATACATGAAACTTGACCTGCATGTTAGTTTGAATTAGCCGCAAGTTTGAATTAACCAGATTCCACTGTTTGTAGAGCTACAAAATTCTCCCCGTGACAAGTGTGCCACAAACAAGAGACCGATTTCACTCGGCAGCATTAGAATGGTGGATGTTGCGCTGCTGGACAGAGTTTGTCAAATGTTTGCTGCATATTCGAGCCATTGGAGTCTGACCTTTGCTCTGCGTGCTGCGAAATTTATTGGGCAATTCATCTTGATAATTGTTACCGCCGAGCCCAACCCCAATGAGATTCCGGATCTCTGCTGTAAGGCACAGCTGCTCTCAGTGTGTATGGCTTCTGAGCCCTCAGAAATGTCTCGGCATTTACTTGAACATCCTCTAACGTTTTCCTCAAAAGTTAGGGCGATCTTAAAGACATAGCTGGTGTAGTTGCTGCTTGAGTTGACTCTTGCACTTGTTTGTTTATTTGTATGCTTTCCTTGAGCCAGCCAGTTCTAATTAAATGCTGTGGAAATTATTGCTTTTAATGGGCTCCTTTTAAACGGAACTCGAAAAGACAGAAAAATTTGTTCCATTTATCGGAAGTTTCATTTAAGCAAAGCACATAAAATCAAATATGACTTTATTTCACAAGCATGATGTGCAGCTAATGTTGCTGACTAGAAAAAAGAGTTCATGGTAGTGTTTTGCATTTTGTAATCCTTTTTGTCGGGGTAGGTGTGCATGCCTTGGTGGTCGCACAGAAATTCCGCACAGCTTTCAGACTTAAAGTAGCGCTGCAAGAGAGCAACAGCCTCCCTCGCTCTGCAGTCTGGCACTGCAGCAGGACCGGGGTCACTGCATTCCACGTCATCTTCACTGGAGCTCGAGGCCTCCTCACCTTGAACTTAGCTACCAGCTCTTCAATGCTCTCTTCATGGCATGTGGCGACATTTGCATCTAACGTTTCATAATCTTGTCGTGTGAAAGAAGTGGAAGAGACCAGCTGACCGAAAAGGATGTCAGCATCAGCTGCATCAGCATCAGCAGTATCCCTTCCTCCTCTGGAATGACTTCTTGTCTTGCGAAGCCTGCGTGGTGAAAGCATCTTTGCATGGTTGACACTTTAACTTGCTCCCAGGCATAAGTCAGCATGTGAAGTGCCGAAAGCAAGTTCACACTATAGTCTTTCCGACTGTCTGCACAAAGAAGCATTCGGTGGAGTAGCTGGCGGCGGTAGTACACTTTCAGGTTCTGAATAACACATAGGTCCATTAGCTGGATTACTGCAGTTGTGTTCGGTGGCAGGAACTCGAGGATGGTGGACTCAAGCCCATCCACTTCACCATGAGCGGGGCAGTTGTCTACAATAAAGATGGCTTTCCTGCCCTCACGGGTAAATCTCGCATCCTGTTCTCGCAGCCAGGTTTCGAAAATCGTTTGCGTCATCCAAGCTTTTTCGTTTCCATAATAAGTGACGGCAGCTCCTGGATGCCTTTACTACACACTGAGGAATGGCGCCCACTGGATACATTGTCCTGCTGCTTCTTTTGTCCTCGTAGTTTTCCACGCTCCGCTTTTCTTTGCTGCTTTCTTCGGCTTTGCAGTACCACACCCTTGAAACAACGAGGGTTGTGCGCTTTTCCCACTACCACCAGCCTCAACTTATCACTGCCGTCCATATTGGCACCCACCAGCACTGTGATGCGCTCTTTACTTCGCTTACCCCCAGTACAGGTTTCCCCTTTGAAGGTGAGGGTCTTGTTTGGGAGCGCCTTGTAGAACAGTCCCAGCTTGTCGGCGTTGTATACATCTCATGCTTCGAAGGTTTGCAGAATTTCTTGCAACTGCCCCTGCTGCCAGTTGCTACAAAGGCTTCTGTTGACTGCTGCACTTTCCTCAGAAATAGTCTTAAAAACTAGGCCGTGCCGATTTTTAAAACGGCTGAGCCAACCGTCGCTCATTTTGAAGTTGTCAATTCCCAACTGAGACGTAATCTCTCCGGCCTTTTCTTTGAGACTAGGGCCGCTGATTGGGAAATTAGCACTTCGCGTGCGCTTAAACCAGAGAAAAAGGACGTTCTCTATTTCTTCAAAAGGCGTCTTTTGCATCCGCCTTCGGTCGGTGGCAAAGCTTCCGCGTTTTACAGCGCCTTGAGTCTTTTTTTGTCCTTTCATATCCTTGAGAGTGTAGACTTTGGGATATCCAACTTATTTGCGATCTCCGTCTTTGAGAGGTCACCACGATCCCAGCTCTTGAAGGATCTTTGTTTTCATAGCAAGTGAAATCACTTGGTGCAGTTGCTTTTTTACCGCTTCCATCACAACACTGCTTGCATACTCGATGGTGAACGTGACGCGCAACAAGTTCAAGACGATGCGCTAACCCTAATGGCGATAGAAACACTGGATTATATCGCCTTATTATAATGGCTTGGATGGATGGATGAATGATAGTGGTTGTACCCTTTGTAACGGGCGGCAGCTTGCGCCCCCTAGCCTAACATTTCGTCATCCCTTCTTTTTTTTAATATTTGTATAATTTTGTTCGAACACATCCCCTTCCCCGGGTAGGGAAACGAAATTCCAGCGCTCATTTTCTAGCTTGAATGTGTTGCATGTTGCACCCTAACCTCAAAAACACCAGTCTTTCATTGAAAGGCACAAGAAAACTAATTTTAAAGCTAAATAAACAATCTTTCAATGTGCACCTGGTGGATGCATGCGGAGCCTATTTGGGACGTAATCTAGCAACGTTGGGGAACTTGCTACATAGCCATGACGTAGCCGATTCCTTTGGAGCAGTGCCACTCTTTGGCATTTCAACATTTTCCTTCTTAGCTTTCCTCCTGAATTCACAAATCGCGCATTATACCAAATGGTCCAAGAAGACGAAAAGGAAGGACTCCCCTCTTTCTGGGACCCTCGTTCGTGCAACCGGACACAGCCATTCTCCACCTAGAAGATTAGCCCGTCGCTCAAAACTCGAACAAAAGTTGCTTTCCCACCCCGTTCAGCCCCAAGCTGACAGTGCTGTGGAAGCTATGTGCTCTTTGGACCAGCCACACGCTCGTCACCCCACGGGTACTTCGAATGGCTTGGTTGTAAAGCGCTGATGCTATTGACACCACCGCAACGCTGACAACGCCACCATAGGCAAAGCTCATAATCATACCAGCCTTGCTATGTCACGAATGCGGGGAATCTTTTCTTTCTTTTTTTGTTTGCGCCAGATATCCCATGACGCATCGCGCTCTCCGTTCGCTTCTCTTCGAGCGCTTGCTTGAGTGCACCGTTTGGAACGAAAAATATAGCGAGTCGTTCAAAATACAAACGTGCGATTATCATTTTCGGTTATTATCCGTCGTGCTTGACTCATTTCCGAACGAAATTTGAATATTTCAATTTTTGTTTCCGTACCCCTTTAAAGTGTTCTCCGTCTTGGCTATTGCGTACTCTATGGTTGTGAGACTGCTGTAGCAATTTCTAATGTCCGCGGTTGCCATCGATAGTTTCGGTTTTGGTCCCGTTTAACCGAAGTAAGCAAAAAAGGGGTTCCGATTACCCGAAGAATTTATTATTAAATACATAGGAAACCAACCGAGACAACCTTTAGAGTTCCGTTTAAGGGGGGACACTACCCAGAAAAAACAATTTCTGCAAAAAAAAGTTGATTTTGAAAAATGTCATATTTACATCCACCAATATATAGAGTGTATTCCCAGAAAGTTTCATTAGTTTACACTGCATAGTTAATTTTTTATAAATTATTTTCGGTCCACCAATGCTAAAAAAAGGTAGAGGTTGGAGCACTTTGAATGCATTTTTCTCTATTCCACTTTTTGGCATAAATTTCACTTTAGGAAAACTATCGTTTTGTTATTACGCAACTTGGATTAATTTTTATGAGTTTTTCTGGGGTGAAATTTCAAGGGGAAGATAACTATGAGCTTGTATTTTTTATTTTTGTCATTTTTCATGCTCAAGAACTAAAAGTTTGGACAAAGGATGGAAATCTAAAAAACTGTATTTGTGTTTATGTGACTTTTTTGTCATGAAAGATAGTATAACATAGAAATATAGCTCCATAGTTATCTGCTCTGAACTGTCCTAATACAATGTAACACATGAAAACAACAAATTTGTAAGTAATTTCAAAACGATAGTTTTCCTAAGCAGACACGCCTACTATTGTCTTTGAACGTTTGCAATTTCTTTTGTACTTGACCCAGGTTGACAAAAATTGGCAGAAATGTTCTCAACATCAACAGAAACAAGCCCTGTAAATATAATTTAAATCAGACAAGTGGTTCAAGAATTTACTTTTTTGGGTAGTGTCCCCCCTTAAGCGAGTTTCGTTTAATCGGAGTCCATACTTATATACGGGACTTTTTTTTGTTAACATATTATTTCCATTGACTCTTTTCAGGGATTGGAATCTATGTTTTCGCTAAATGTCTGTGTGTCTCTTTTCGTTTTTCAGATGGATGGAGGTCATCAGCAGTGCAGCCGTAAAAAAACTAAACTGAACTGCAACGTTTTCCTGCTCGTCGTATCAAGGGCAACATCAAAAACACGCACGTGTCTTAGCTTGCAAGCAAGCGCAAGAAGTAATTTTGGATGCATATATGTTTGCGCACTCTTTATAAATTGATGCACATTAAGTTGTTGTGCTCAACAGCCTTATATACAATAAGTTTGTCATTTTCACGTTTGGGAGGCCTGTGCAGTTTCCTGCAGAAATGCTGATCAAGAAGCAGAAAGGAGGTAACTCCCTCAATTCCCCCTTCTGCAGGAGGTAGCTAGAGACTAGCTCCTATGAGGAGAGGAGAGAAGGAAACTGGGAACCGGTTTTCTTCCCAGCAGATTCTGTAAGTCGGCCTTTAAGGCTGACATTAACTTTAGAGTACTCTGCCTTGATGTGCAGAAAACGTCGTGGAAAGCTTTCTTCTGTATGTGAAGCAAGCAGTGAACAAAGCACTTGTCAAACATTGTTGATTGTCCTTTAAAGCCCATAAGGGTCATTTGGCCTCTTTTCCTACTTTTTGGTTTACTTTTCTACTGCTACTTGTTTGTAAAGAAGACTTTGCCAGTCTAACGTGCATAATATTTGGGGCCATCCATGATGAAATGACAAAACTGCCATTGCATGGCAGAGCTGAAATGTACAGAGGGTGACATATTTTGCGTGAACAAGCGATTGCTGCTTTTTTCCATTTTTTCCCCAATGCCTCGTTTGAGCAAGTGCAAAAAAAGGCAACAATGCTGTGTTCATGCTGCCTTGCAAAGCGTACCAGTTATCGTGTAATTTCATGTGGCATGATGTTTTCTCAGGATTTTGTTGGCCTACATTGAGTGCTTGTGCAGTAAATTACATGATTTTTGTGAATTTTATATTTGTAAGGATGACGATTTGCACTGAGGCAAATGGCTATAAGTTTTTTTTGTTGCAAATTGTGCTAAAGGTTTTAATTTTTCCGAGTGATATTTGATGCATAATATTGGAGTGAAGTATGCTTCCCTTTTCGAGGTAGTAACACCTTATTCAAAAGCTCTTTCTGTATGTGTATCTCTTCATGAAACTGAATATTGCAGACAGCTTAACTTTTGTGAGAACCTAACTTTTTTAGATTTTAGAAATATTACAAAAATATTATCCCCTAATGAATATCATAGCATGCCACTCGCAGTCACAAAATTTGGTGCTCATGAAATATTCCCAATACGTCCTTGGAACCTCGGAAAATTTGTGAAATACTAATCCTGCGAAAATAAGGTTGTTGACTGTTCTATAAATATTGTCATGTAATTCAGTTTTCTCAGCTAAGGCTGCTAGTAGTACTGAAAAAGCTTCAATAGCCTTCAGTTATTTGTGAGACCTAAAAAGCTGTGAGGGGCTTTTGTTCTCTTTCTTTTAGGTATGAGTACACTAACGGGTTTTCAACACGCCCACGATACAGTTTGTGCAATCTTTTGTTTTTATACAGTGAACCCATAAGAGTCTTCGTTAGTGTCTGTTTGACTGATTTATTGGCTGCCGGTGGCTTTCTTGAATGTTTTACCTGTTAGTCCATTCTTGTCCATTCCTCGCTGGGACAGCAGCAAAAGCGAGCATTTCCATTTTCTTCTTTGTCAGACTTTTTTGGCTGCCACCTATTTTTGTAACGTTGTACTCTTTCGTGCTTTCACATAAGCTGCGATGTGCTTGATACTGCTTGTCACATTCTTTTTTACATCTGTATGTCAAGCCACAGGGCCGGCCCTAGGAGTGGGCGACCTGGGAAGTTGCCCAGGGTGCCACCGAAAGAGGGGCACTGCCACACCCCCCTATTGAATTGTTTTTAGCTTTTTGATTTATTTGAACAGACCACCCGACACGATGCTGTGTGCTCGAACACCGTTCGTCCTTGGAATGCGGTTCTCGTATGACAAAACGCTTGTGTTGGGCCACTACTGGCATGTTTACTAACAGTGTGATGTCATACCTAATACATAGGGGCGTATAAAAAGGGGGCGGGGCAGGGCGAAGAAGAAGGGAAGGGCATGGCCGGAGTTTGCCCAGGGCTCCTGGTGGTGTAGGGCCGGCCCTCTCATGGTAACTTTAGATTGTAAAGGTAATGAAAGAAAGTGTTAAAAAAATTATGGAGGTGTAATAAAATTTGTACTTTGCTTATTAATTTTGTGTTTTTATTTTCAATTTTCTTATTTTATTTTTAGTTATTTATCTATACTATTGGCAGCCATGGGACAGCCAAGATAGGAAAGATGCGTTGTTTACGATAAAAAATACACAGGGTGTGTTAGGGCACCAGTAAATAAAAGAGAACTCTCATCACATACCCTATCTAGATCAGGAACTGAACAGAAAAGTATTCTCTCAATGGGGCCACATTTTATCGTTTTTTTTTTAAGTCTCATTTCACGTTTTGGCGCAAAGGTAGACAGTCGCTCAATAAATCTGAGCGCACAAAAAATACACTCTCACCGCATCAACTCTTCATATGTATCCCGTCAAACTTCTTAGACCCTAAGAGGATGCCAGCTATCCTAAAACACAAGGGAGAAGAAAAGTGAAAGAGAGAGAGAATGAAGAAAGTGATGAAAGAACATAACACCCCAAAATCTAAAAATTACAAAAATTAAAAACAAAAAAAATTTTTTACTTTATTTTAATGTTTTTTTAATAGTGCATTTAGACTTCCGGATTTGCAATCGGATCCGTGCAGGCGGAAAGTCGATTTTAGAGCCGATTGGCAAAATCTTGATAAGTTCGGAACCCATATCCAGAATTTTTGCCAGCGACGAGTCAATTTCGCCACCCGGCTCCAAAATCCCCTTTCCACCTGTGCGAATCCGCCCACAAATCCACAAGTATAAATGCGCCAAGAGCCGTTGTCGTGTAAAGTTAAACTAATGTCATGCGACACAAACCGATGACCTCCCGCGACATCAAACAATGAGCGAAAAGAGCGCCGACACTAAAATCTTTGCTTTATTTATGGCGAGTTTGTGTGCTGCTTTTTGTGCGCACTCGAGCGCTCTTCCCAGAGCGCACGAGATCGAGATCAACCCCCGCCGCGTGAGCCCCCATACCAAGGAGGTTAGAAGTACTAGGAGGGGTAATGTTGACGATTGGGCTAGTTGGTCATTCATATTAGCGGAAAACAAACAGCGCAAGGACGAGGACAGAGTAGAAGGCGGTAGACACACACAGCGCTGTGTGTGTCTACCGCCTTCTACTCTGTCCTCGTCCCTGCGCTGTTTGTTTTCCGCTAATACTAGGAGGGGGCACGTTGCAATATTGGTGAAGCCTAGTCATAAAAAGTTTAAATGATTTTGTGCCCTGCGTGATCGCAGATCTCTATGGCGATTGGTGCGCGTGACATGTCACGTGTGAGATGGATGGTTGATTGTAGAAGGACGCCTTGCAGGCTTGCGCGCGCTCCGTCCAGTAGGTTCTATCAGATCGAAGTCTAGACTGTGGTGAATGCTAGTACCCCATAGCAAGACGAAGGCTAGCTACGGTCACGTGATGTGGTCACGTTGGCATGGTAAGTGAGGAGAGTAAGGAGGAAAATGAGAAAGAGGCGAGGCGTCAAGGGAGCATGGCTTGTGGAGGCTACGCGGCCGACTTCATGCCCTCTCCTACCCTTCCATTCTCCTTGCCCCATACACACACGCTGGGAGCACCTGCTTTAATAGGTGCTTGGTAAATGGCGTCGCCGCGAATTGCGAGCGATGTAAGTTTATCCACCCACGCCTGGGTCTGCGGGCTTAACCTATATCTGGAAAAGGGGGATCCTGGTAATTGAGCTGAGCCACGTTTGGACCCTTCAAGGTCCCCCAGGCAAAGAAATATACCGCTTCGGCCCCTGCTTCTCGTAGACTGGTGTCCTGGCTTGGCCCAACCAGGATGATTAAGTCAGTCGCCTCTTTTACCCTTTTCCTTCCTTCTTTCACTTTTCCTTCCACCTCCTTCTCTTTCCTGCTACACTCCCTTCCTTCCTTTTTCCCCTTCCTAGGCGGCAAGGGCCAACCTTGGGTGGAAACAGGTCTTGTCCCTGCAACCCTACCCGTGTGTAGTGCCCGGGCAGCACTGGTAGAGTAGTTATATGTCAGCCAAGCTTTTCTTATTATGGCAATTACCTACCCCCTTTTTGGGCCCCACGGTGGGTGGTGCAGCTGGGCTCCAGATCTCCCATTTGTTATTGGTTTTCAAGCTAAGAAACCTTTTGATCAGGCCCCGAAAAGGGTCCACACCGAAGTCCCTGCGAAAGACATGACCTCATCTTCTAGCCTTACATTCCCCAAATTTTTCGTTATTGACTGGAAATGATAAACAACTCTCAAAGATTGCCCCTTTTCTTGTTGCGAAAGTGCTAAAAAGTGTGGTCGGAAAGAACTTCAAAACCAAAAAAGATGCCCTCAGGCGACCTACTTGTGGATATTGAAACCAAACAGCAGGGTACTGCACTCCTTGCCTTGAACTCTGTGTCTGCTCACAAAGTGACTGTTACACCTCATCATACTCTGAATACTATTCAAAGAGTTATCTCAGAGGACGATCTGCGACACTGAAATACTTAAAGGGCTCACCGACCAAGTAGTAGCTGCAAGGCGCATCTCCATGCGTCGGGATGGTCAAGAGTGGAAAACGAAGCACATATGGTCTTAACCTTTGAGTCCACCACACTTCCAGAGGCTGTGAAAGCTGGTTATCTCCACTGCAAGGTTCAGCCCTATGTGCCTAATCCTCGAAGGCGTTTCAAATGCCAGGGGTTTGGCCATGGTTCCCAGTATTGCCATGGAAAAGCACCGTGTGCAAAATGTGCTGACTGACCTTCCCAGACTCTTGCACCAACGACGCTCATAGCGGAAACTGCAGTAATCCCCACCCTGCGTACTCAATCCTGCATACACTGATGGAAGTGCTGCGCTAAATTGCACTTGAGCGAAAGTCTGCTACATTTTGCGCCAAGGTGCCATTTTGACTAAGAATTGTGCCTCACCTGCGCCGAGATGGGCCATACAAAAAATTGATATATTTTTAGAGCGCAGCTCTTAGGCGCCCGTTTCCGGCTTGAGCGGCGTCGGCGTAACCGCGCGGTGCATTATGGGTAAATTTCCCTGCCAAATCTAGCGGAAAAATTTCCCCACTAAATCTAGCGGAAAAATTTCCCCGCTAAATCTAGCGGAAAAAATTTCCGTGCTAAATCTAGCGGAAAAATTTCCCCGCTAAATCTAGTGGAAAAGTTTCCCCGCTAAATCTGGCGGAAAAGTTTCCCCGCTAAATCTGGCGGAAAAATTTCTCCGCTAAATCTAGCGGAAAAATTTCCCCGCTAAACCTAGCGGAAAAAATGTCTCCGCTACATCTAGCGGAAAAATTTCCCCGCTAAATCTAGCGGAAATAATTTCTCCGCTAAATCTAGCAGAAAAATTTCCCCGCTAAATCTAGCGGAAAAATTTCTCCACTAAATCTAGCGGAAAATTTTATCTGGGGGTCACGTGACACCCCCAGATCACGGGCCCCCCCCCCCCCAGGTCACGTGATCTTGGGGGTGACGTGACCCTACCAAGGTCACGTGACCTCAGGGAGGGTCACGTGACCTTTGTGGCCTTGGCTCCTCCTCAAGAGCGGCGCTCTAATTCGGCGTTACAGGGAGTAAACGGCTTTCATTCTTTATTGGTTGATCCTAATATTAAAAAAAGTAGGAAGAAGGAAAAACAGTAGAAATATGTATTTCACAGCGTCTCTACTTACTGTATGTGTTGTTCCATCTGAGGTCAGAGCAGAGTCGAAGGCTCGAACACAAACAACACGAACACACATAGTAAAAGCGCAAGTCACGTACGGGACATTCGCTGCATTTGATTGGTTTAATCGATAAAAGAACAATTACAGGGAAATGGTCGAATGTCTCTATGTCGCGCTTTAACATTCTGTGGTTGATCCCATTGGTTCGTAGCGTCAGCTGCGCTTTAAAGGGATACTTCAACGAAATTTGAAATAATCCCGTCGTGTTCAAAAATAGGTTGAATATGATCCACAATATCCGTAAATGACAATCGCACGTTTGTATTTTGATCCTGGTGGCTGTATTTTTCGTTATAAACGGCCCACTCTGGCAAGCGCTCGGAGAAGGCCCAGCTTAGAGCACGTGACATCTAACGCAATCGTGACGTAGGTCGTCTCAAGACGAGCAAAGCTACGGCGAGGCTGACGTCGAGAAGATGGCCTAGTCGTTCCAGCCACCGAAGCGGCTGTTTTTGTACGAATTTTGAGTGACGGGTTAATCTTCTATAATCTTCTAGGGGGACAATAGCGACTTCTGCGACACACAAAAGGGATTCTCGGGAAGAGGGGAGTTCCTCCTGCCCTTCTTCTCTCGTCGTGGCCGGAGATGAGACAAGCTCCGTCACGAGCTGTCAAGGTTCCTAGACGAGCATTACAAACGAGGCGTTAGCGACATCCACCAGGTGCTCTTTGCTAATCGTTTAATTCGTTTTAAAATTTCTTTTCGAGACTTTTTTAACAAGATATTGGCATGTTCCATGTGATACTGCTCTTTTGAACACATATAGACCAAAAAATGAGCGCAGAAATTTCGTTGTAGTATCCCTTTAAATTAAGGTGAAACGAATTTTTAAGATTGCTCGTCCACCGCGCTGGCCGGTTGATGCGCTAGAAGCTTGACCGCCAACATCGTCTAAACTTTCAAACGATGTCAGGAGCCAGAAATCACAAGAAAACATTGCAAAATAGTAGTATAGCGGCTGCTGCGGTAAGACAAAACCAGGCGCTTGTACTCCTGGTAAGATCACTTGATTACGTCTGCCGTATGCTCCCGTGGCGCCTCTCACCAGCCCACGCGCGTCGAGCTTCACCGCCTTGCACCGGAGTGCTAGGAGTAGCGGCTGACATGGGTGAGCGTCTGGTTTAGAACGATATGCATGTAAATTATGCTCAGTACTATCGCAGGTCCATATTCTTTGGTCTCGATTATATGATCTCGTTTTCAAATGCTGCGTCGAGAAAGAAAAAAAACAAACAAAAAACCTGCGCTTTATTTTAATAAATGTAAGCGCAAGAGTAGGTTTTCATAATATTTTGGGTGGTTGTTTTTTACAGTTTATAATATTTAAGTCTTCAGTTTAGTAACAATACAATTTGGTAGGC